ATATATATATTTGTAACAACTTTACAAAATGGAGGATGAATTTGCGGGTCCCAATGAGATGTGTACCGAACCAATGATACATTGTATTCGAATGACAATTTATTTCATGTTAACTGAACCTCGAGGAGATTCCATCGGTAGTCAACCACGTGGACCACTTCACCCGTCACCCGCGGATCCTCAGTCACGGCATAACCTAGCCTACTGACACCCAATAAATTAGCTTTCACTAAGCATGAGTTTGACAGTTTACATGCTACATGCATTATTTCGTCTCTTTAACAGTTCTTGAGCCTCCACTCGACACATGGTTTGCGGTAAAATTATGGTGCTAGTGGAAGACCATGCGGCTATTACAGAGAATTTAGGGCAGATGTTCAATTTTCCACCTCTGAACTTCTACTCTGCACGAGATTGCGTTTGCCCTGTGAATTCTCCACGCCACGGAGCAGTGAATTTTCGGTATGGCAGAATACTTTTAATGACTAACTGCATATATGCTAACACTGCATCCGTTAATTGATATACATTATCTTGCATTATACGTATCGTGTTTGTACGTATGGATTACTTGTTATTACAGTGGACTACGAGAACGAAATTCCGCATACGCCTCTACCGTCAATTATTGTAGTGACTTCACTTTTATTAAGAGAACGCGATTGATGTAATAGAAACATTTATTATTCTAGCCATTTGTATTAGTAATTATTTTACTGAACTTCTTTGTTTATCACTTTGCTGTACGCGCAAACAATCCGTTTGTGTTGCTGCTATTTTGGCTTCCTTGTCCGTGTAATTTCGCCCCTGTTTTTTGGTACGATATCAGGTATCGTTTCTATACCACGAAATTTCCAGCAAATATTTTAACTTATTCTCTCTGTAACGGGCACGTAGTTAGTCTGTAGTGGTGATCATTACCAACTGCGACCCGATACCCAACAACTGGTGAGCTGACGTTTCTTCCAAAAACGTCAGTTGCGGTGAGTTTATTATTCATCTATCACCATATTTGTCATGCTGCAATACTACAATTAATAGCCCTTATTATATATTACACTTTCAACAACGTTTCAAAATGGTGGGTAGATACAATGTATTAGACTCCGAGGTGTAGATCGTTGCCCGTCACCCCGGGTTGCTCATTTATTTTCCATGTACCGTTCTCGTCATAACGCTAGGTCCCTAGTGGGCACAAGTGCACTAGTTTCTATCGTGTCGTCTGGTAGCAGCAAGTCTCAAGCTACAAAGCTTCAACCTCCTGTTCACATGTTTTCAGCATCGATCGTCTCAAGCCATTACACGTCCATGAAGACTTATTGCTAGACCCATCAAACTCACTGGCGGGATTCCTACATCCAGTTAGGACCCCACGCTAAATACATCATTCTCACGTCTCACTTAACATCTTGGGGTGAGACTTCATTCTCACGTTCATATCAGCAGACGACTCCAACAATGACTTCGGATGAGATGGCAGTCTCATGAGATACGTACGAGACTATCGTCTCAAGTTCCGGTCTCCGAGTACGCCTACCTCTACGCTTGCGTAACTAAACCCTCGGTCAGCAACGGATACGGCTTATGACTCCTTCCCAATACTACTTGCACGCTACACCTTTCTCCGTTTCTTTGATTTTATTTATCCCAAGATCACGTCTCCGACCATCGCCCTGCTGGTGCTGCCGACTTCAGTCAGTCTTTGCGAAAGCTGGCCTGATCACCCACGGTCTTGTTAGTGCATTCAGTCCATGTTCTGGTTCCAACTACGTCTGTCATCCGTATGATCCCGAACTTGATTATCATGGTCGCTTGTGATTTCTTGGCTTAATGTGGTTTCATCCTACGTCTAAGGCGTTTTCTGGTCCATTCCTCTTCGAGCGCTATCTTCAGATGGTTGATGCAAACCACTAGTTTGTCACGCCAACTGGAGCAGCAGATATGGTACGTTACTCCTGGCACCGTTCTTCGTAAGACTTCCGGTGGAAACTGGAGGATCAACGATCACTTCCTGTTCATCAACAGTTTCATCCTATAATCTCACGTTTGCCGATTAGTCCCATGAATGAAACCACTACCTATCGAGAGTGCAAACCATTTCTAGCTGGGGCTACTGTGACGATCTTTGTTTTGAGTGTATTTAAGTGTATTTTAATAATAATAATAATAATAATAATAATAATAATAATTTATTCTCAAATAACAAACATGTTACAAGAGACATGCCAATTTACAGGCAAGATCTTTTGCTTTAAGACTATTTACAATTATCATTATTATTTTATTGAGTTTCTGGAACGCATTCAACTCGTCAGCATTGTTCAAGTTAAAACTGATTCACTTTCGTCCTACCTAATGTTTCGGATTATCGCTGTCTCAGTTCTGAGCTAATTGCATGAATCTATTCCTCTCAGAATACAGACTTGATCACCTAGTTGTTAAGAATGATTGTTGACAATTACCGTTAACAGTAGACTGACCTGAGGCCTAGTTAAAATCACCGCGTTTATCAAAAAAATGTCTTAAAAATTGACATTTACAGTTCTTACTATCGGTCATTTTCATTTGGAATGAAAAAAGCATATTATACCTATACACATGTTATGTGCATTTTATTAATTCCATCACATTCACTATTTGAAATCAAATTTGAAATGCAGATGCATTCAGCTATCATGTAACAAATATTTCGTCCTGAATTCTACTACTAGTCATATTATATCTGTTCTTTACAAGTTTCAGTCGAGGTTACTTGATATAACTAGTATGTCGATTCTTTGTTTAAAACATTAATTCCTCTTTTGACAAAAACAAATACAGTTCACTAAGTTTAACATCAAGAATCGATCCTGTAACCTTTAGTTACCTATAGCTGAACTACTAAGTAAGTCTTTAGGCAGCTGAGATAAGCCTCTGAATGTACCCAGATTTGAAACCAAGTATTAAAGCATCTGGCCTGAAGAACATTCATTCTAGACTTAGTCACAAACCAAAAGTTAATGAATATAGTCTGTTAAAATTACAAAAAGCGATAGAAATTGATTATCGAACTGCTGCTGAAAGACACAAAGATGTATCGACAATACTTAAAATCATTTGTAAAAGATATACAAGAGCTTGTGGTCACCGAACAGATGAAGTTATAGTCACAGCGAGGTGGTGAGTATTCTATAAAATCTGTGCAATGTTCGTCTACCGACCGGAACTACAATACTCTACAAGTTTTCGAGTGTCTTGGCTAGTAGCGTAATGTTTTCTTTGTATTTAATGGAGAATTGAATATAATTTGATTTCATCACCAGTGTATGTTATAATGACATCCCAGGTGTTAATAGTTAGGAGATCTGGGTCATCCTCAGTGTGTATATTTTGAAGTAATGATATTTTAGGATATTTGTATTTTGTGAAATTGGATGCTGGCAATGTAATATTTATATCCTTAGTTTAAGTCGGCTATCTTCGGCTAAATTCAGTGGTAATGGACGACCTTTGAAATTTCGAAGTGGATGTACATAGGACTATCCAGATATTAAGGTCATTAGCCCAAATGAGACCAGATGTGTCTATTTTGCGTGGAAAATGAAGTTGTGGGAATGAAGTGGTTGCTACGCAACCCATTTGCCTTCATAAAGTAATTTCGGCTCTTGACCATATCTGTTGTGTTACTGAATTTAACCAAAGTTTTAAAAATAATGTCAAGGTAGGGCTATTGATAATCCACTCCGTGAAGCACAGAAACTGCCATTTGTGAAGCCCTAGTTCGCAGCAGCAAAAGTGATGTTTCTGTTAATATAATCCCTCAACCGCTAAACTGGTCCTTCAATTACTCAAGATGCAATCAGAACCGATATACGCTTTTTTCTTTCCTCACCCTCTTCTCTGATTGTTAGAAGTGACCTATTTTCAGCCTATCATCGCCTTCCGAGATCCTACTGAATAAGCAAACAAGTCATACGAAGGTGCAAAAGTAGTTTGGAAGCACTGCTTTAGGACTAAAAACAACGATTAAGTTGATACCTAGTGACTTAACTTGTCTGCAATGCAAACTCACATGTCCCATAAATATTTCATGCGCTTTAAATTACCACTATAGTGTCATATGTTTGACGTTAGTTATTGGTTGATTCTTATAATTCAAGTATCAAAGATTTCTATAATTTCTAATCGGGTCAACTCCTGTCCATTTGATAGTACAGGTAATTTTTTTTCTAGGTCTCTCCTATCCCATTAACTCTTAACAATGTTTTATGCACTGTTTAATGTTGTCGGACACCTTTATCTAGAAATTCCTGTCACATCTCGACTTTTAATCCTATTTCTCCCTTTTGCTGAGTGAATAGCAACGGTATATTTATCGTGCAGTTTCTCTGAAAAAGAAAACTGTCATTAGTTCTTTGCCACGTAAATACTTTTGAGAGCTATACCTTCCTTAGATTTAAGATTAGGAACCTGAGTAGAACAGCTTTCGGTCTGTGTTCATTCAGGTATTTTCTGTCGCTCATATAAAAAATCCTTATGATTAAAACCATAGCAAACACTACCATTACGGTCTTGATTTTATTTCAGGGAAAGGATAAATATTCATCGTCATACAGAAGAATAAACCGGACTGAAATGATATCTGTTTGTAAAGCATTAGAAATCATCTAAAGATTATCACTGTTAGCCTCTACCAGTCCTATGCTCATATAACAGGTTCTGTTGTTGGATTGGTAGGAAAAATGCTGTTCTCTTAAGACAATGTCACTTCCAAAGCTAATAGGGTAAATCGATTCTCCGAAATTTTCATCATGAATCATCTACGTGTCTGAAAACAAATTTCCCTCAATTATACGGATTACGTGCTCATGCAGATGTTTTAATCGATTTTAATTGTTACTTTGAGTTGATTCCTGAAGTCACAGTGCTGAAAAAACTTGTATTTCTTTACTTCGACATTATGTATATTGCATGTTATCCATTCACATATATTTGACATTGAATGGAAACTAAGTTTGCCATTTGTTATACGGTGGTACTATTGAAAATGTGTTGAGTTTCTGTATTTCCCGAAGTTAGTTAAACTCGCATTCAGAGCATACTAAAGTCCTTGAAATCAACTCTTACTGTAACCGTAGATGATATTTTGCTGCACCTTTTGAGCTTCAATGATGGGGTGAAGTAAACTACAGATTTTCATTTAACCAAATTGGTTTAAAATCAGTTGACATAATGATAGTTTCGGTGCTAAAGTTCAAGTAGTTTTCGTTCTGAATATTATACTTGTCGTAAAGTTTTCGAAGGACTTTATAACTTTGTAGGTTATTTGATTTTACTTTTTTGACCAAGTATCCTCAATCGCAACTGCTTCGGCTGTACATCTTCGCAGTTATAACTGTTTTAAAATGAACAGCATGTCTGTAGATGAGATTTTACAAAACATGTTTACCTTATTTGAAATGTGGTTGGGTTTCTGATTCACATTCTCGGTTAACGATAGTAAAATTACATTCTCTAGCATGGTACTGATGTGTAGGACTAACAGGTTTATGCCGCACTATTTTATTACATTATTGTATGTTCGTTCCTGTAGGTACATGGTATTCAGTTTCACCTGGCTGTGTTATTAGGGGGAAAACGTATCGCTTACTATATGGTTTATCGAAGAAAGCAATCACACCATGTTATCTAGTCATTAAGCATATAATGTACTGATGAATATTGTGTGCAATTTTTTACTTGAACTCGGCGAAAGCCGGCAACATAAGAGGAAACTAAACCCGCTATATTTTTGTCGGAAGTATTATCATGAGGATGAAACCAGTTCGCTTAGCTCATTTGTTCGTTATTTTCTTAGATATAAGAACACGATTTAAAGGTAGTGATTAAACTTAACCGTACTTCATTGATGAAGCAAATAACACCTTTATACTTTGAATAATTTTCTCGACTTCACAAACAAGTTAACGGTTATGAAATTTCAAACACAGCACGCTATCCCGAACAATTGTATTTCGTAAACAGAGTTTTGTAGGTCTAGAAAATATATTTCTCTACATAATATTTTGACTGCAGTGAAAACCTAATAATTAAAGCACAAGCATTATCAAAAAAAGGAAGCAAGTACCCCTCCAGATGTGTTCAAGTGATTTATCACAAATTTATAGCATCAAACAATGTAAATTAGTCACAAAGACGTAGTATAACCTGGCGCATTAGATGAGTTCAGGGTAAATTGAGGCGAATGGGATGGCTGGTGCCAAACAATCCTCTAAGTAGAATGTGTCGGCTTTAAATGCTTTGTTATTTTCAAACTGTACAAATTCAAACATCCTAATTCTGTTAGATTTACAATTTTACGCATACATTTAGCATGCATTCTTGACTAGTCATTTCGGAACCAGGCTCCACCCAATTCATAACCCGTTTATCTAGCTTTTTTAATTTACTCAAATTATACTAATAGTTTAAACATGAATATAATTGTTCATCCAGCTCTCGAATCGTTTTCATAATTCTATCATTTTCAGTACTTTCATAAACATAAGAACTATTTAGTTTGTGAAAAGTTCCACGTACCAGTGCCTTTTCAGAGAATTTAGTGCATCCTGGCTTTTAGCACAACCAACAGTGCTAACCAAAGAGTAGTGCAATAATTGCACAACATTTTCCGAAAAGTATATGGCACAATCATTTAGTATGCAAAATTACTATAAACTTACCGATGTTTTCAAAAATCTTATTTTCAGGGATAACCTCCCTTATGGACTAAATTGTGTGTTAATGATCTCTCTTTATATTGTCCACCGTATTTTCAACATAACTTTTAACTGAAAAAGCCTTAGGTTTGTGTCCCTACTTTTTTAATAACCTCTAACTACCATACAGAATGAATTCACACGTTACTTCGTCAAAAAATGACAAACTCCGTGAACAAATATTTGATTACCCAAATTACTTTTCTACAGAAGATGAAAACTCGCACTGGAAGCGTTCAACTAGTGATGCGAGCTTTTTTCTCGACGGAAAGCAACTTACAGACGAACAGTAATGAGATATTTTCTGTTTATATAATTAATTCTTGATTTTTATTTCAGTGACACATCCGGGAGTGTTTCAGAGCAGGCAAGAGTTTATTGGAATTTGCCAGAAGCCGTGGAAGCTTCGGTAACACCTAATTTTGGAAGTGACAGGTCAAAATGCAGCTATGAAGTACGCAGACTAGAAAAGTTATCGACTGGTTCTGGTAAATTCATATAAAATATTTTACATTGTAATAAAGTACTTATCTGGACATCCTTTGCTTCCCAGTCTTTTTGCGACCTACTTAAACAATATCACTCAATACAAAACAGAGAAGCCCATTTCAGGAATCCGTTAACATCGTGTCAAATGTCTGTCTTATAATTAGATATTAAACGTTTTATTGATGCATAGGATTTGAAAGTGAGATGCTATATGCAGGGTACGCTTACTAAAATAGTGTTCATACACTGATTACTTATTAAATTGAATTTCCGATTAAAAGCTTATAAAGTGAAGTCATAGCATGTTTACACATAATCTGGTGTTTGAACATAATGTAGGCAGGATTATACTAATCCAAAAAAATCACGGTTAATTTATAAATTATGAAACTAAACCTATTTTAAAACGTGATTTAATTGTTATATCTTATCAACCTTTTATAACTGTTTTAGGATTACTTATATCTCAATCTTTACACTTACTTTCACTAACCAATGACTTACTTTATTTTATCGGCAGAAGCTTGCTAAATTTCGTTTACAGCAGTGACATTTGAATATTATATGTTTTGAACAACTGAAAGAGAACAAAACAATCAAAGTAATGTAAGCTATTGTACCTGCATGGTTGTTTTTGCTCTTCTCAAGTTAACAGAGAAGTATCTTATGTGTCAGGAGGTTGGCACGCGTTTATGTTGTTAGCGTCAGTAAAATATTTCGGTCTAAATATCTATATTGAATATTAGCTTTATTATTATTTATTTGCATGATTTATTTAGCAACATCACGTGTTCAAGTACATCGTGTGCATTTTCAAGAGCATAACTTACCATCAATAATACGAAAAGATGGAGCAAATCGTTCACAGAGTACGCCATTTTCACCATTTCAAAATATGGATAGTACACGTTTACTGGAACAGTTTAAAGAGCAGCAGCAACATCAAGATTATAATCTCGATTCAACTCGATTATTATCTGTTCATCATCATTCAAAATCCGACACAAATCAATCAATATCATCAAGTTCTAAATTCATTTTAAAGTCTACTGATCATCAATCCGATCTTGCAAATAATGATTCGGTTATCATAGATAATAAAGCCGTTAAAAAAGAATATATTAAAGAATCAACCACATCATCTTCATCAACATTATCAAGTACTCTTAATAACAGATTCGATTCATATTTAAATCATGTCGATAACAATCTTTGTAATAAAATTATTAATGATATTAATTCCAAAAGCCATGACAACTTCAAAATGATTGAACAAAAAATGATGTCAGAAATGGAGAAACTACGACTTATTTCATTGTCACCCTCTACCGTTTCATCATCATCATTATCGAACATATCACAACTATTAGATAATACTGATACTATTATAAAAACAACGGCTCCATTGCTACAGAACAATAACTCCGTACTTGTACGAAATGAAAAAGATATGAGTCGTTTAAATGAAGAATATAAGGTAACGCTTGCATCTAGTTGAACAAATTTATATAATCTCAAGATGAAATTAGCTCATTTTAGTTTATTCTGTCATAAAATGTTTGCAAAGGCGTCATCCTGTGGTTTCTATTCGTGTAATTACTTACCACAACTATTTTCATAATAGTATTACTGGTGATATTCATTTCATGCATTTTCATGCATAATTATTGCATGGCTAATGTCTAGAAAATCGAAACTGAAACTAATCTGTTTATATGCCCATCTGTGTTAACTAAATGTTCAATATTGATATTTTCATACTTTTACTCAACCGAATCAAATCCAGCAAAGTTAAAGATAAGCCTATTCTTTTATTATTTCCATGAAAGTCAGTCGGGTTAGGTAGATTTGAAATTTTTTTTTAGAAGTTTCCATTTCTTGACAATATAAATTGTTTTCTTAAACACGTTTACTATGTGCACTTACAGGTTTTGGCGTTAGTAACTTTTCTTTCTTCATCCAAAGAAATAAAAAAAATCTATACGAATAATGCATATTAGGTAGATCAGTAATCCTAGTAAATCTATCATAAATAGATTTCAACTAATTATGATTGGAAATTTTAAAAAAACATAAAGTATCTGTCTAAATATCAGACAGTAGTTTTCGGAAATTTCTTCGAATTAAAATTTTTACTAAATCGTGCCTTCATAATCTAATTCTGTACAATTATTGATTTTTTCTCTTGAAATCATAATGATAGTGAAGAAATGTCTAAACTGGAGTGAATATACCGATTAGATCTGATTAGAAGATAAAATTTGTGACCAATAGTTTTCAAGTTTAACACAACTGATGAAATGCTTTAATCAGACTTTCGTAGAAAAATGTAACGCCGTAGTGTGATAAACCAAGCTACATAGAATATGAATCACTGTCATAGTAGTAATAACCGATTTTGTTAACATCAGAATTTCTATCGGATTTAAAAATGTGTCTTAATTATAAACTCGACATTGATGCCTAATAAACTTTATCAGTATATCATTTCTATTGACTACCTGAAATTTGAATAGGTTAATATCTGTTGTTCGAATTATGAATATGTTTGATTTCTAACAAATACTACTTTCCCGACATCTTCAACAGCTGCTGATGTCGAGTGAATTACAAAATTTCTCACATTCGAGACCTCAATGAAAGAATATTTTACCCTGAAGGAATGAAGTAAAATAAACAAATATATTATTTAGTATCAAATTAAAATATTGCTCTTCATTAACTTGAAGTATAAACGTTTCCCTGTGAGTAGCGTATTTCAATTGCTGTCACTTACCGTATTTTGGATCTGACTCAAAATTATAATTCATATTCCTTTCGAATAAAGTGGCACGTGGTCAACTTCACCGATCACGGCTGTTAACTAGTCTGTTATTTACAGTGTTACGTTTAGCATTATAAATGCACTGACATATTATTGGTCAACATTCTGTGAAACAGGTAACCTCACTAACATTCGATTTATCACCATTAGTGTGACCGAAACAACTTACATATATTCGAAATGATGCTACCCTTTTCACTCTACACTCTTCAACAATAAATTAAGTCCTACATTTTTTGACTTTTGAATTTTGAGTAACTATAAGATCTACTGTAAACTGAGTAGGTCTAAATGAGTGAAAGCTAATGAAATTTAACGCCAATGAGCAAAACGCACCATGAAACAGTAAACGATTTCTACTTTGATTTCACTGTCTCATAAATATAACGGGTTATCACTTTTTCTTAAAAGTTAACCCCCAGCTCCAAGCCTGGCTTGGCATGTTCGACCATATTATTTTTAAATGCTTGCTAATTGTTAGAAGAATGATTTTATGAATAACAGAAAAAAAGAGACCGAAACTTATATAGTTTGTCTACAAATCATTTTATGAAATGAAACAATTCATAACAAAAATAAGTTGCAAACTGAATCAGTGCCTAGACATTTATCAACAGTGATATTTTTTAAAAATTATTCCAGAGTGAAAATCAATAAAACCGAGCAATAATATTGTATCACTATGATATATAGATCCAAAACGATTTTGAAGTAGACTAATATTGTTGGTTTTTGGATACAAATGAAATAAATTTCATATTTCATCTGTACTAATTCCTTTCGACTATTATCAGCAAATCTAAAGATTTATTAGCATATTTTGTTCGGGTTTATTACCACACCCACTTTCGGAAATTAATTATTTCGTCCCAATAAGTATTGATGGTGTTGTACATCCCCCTTTAGATGCCAAGTATGTCTCTTAAGGTAATCAGTATCTTTCAGTGTTTTATAATATCACATAATATTCTTCAATATAACACCTTTTAAAAGATAGAATTTATCTAATACCAAAGTAAAGAAAGAAACGAATTAATCTGTGCATTGTGTATGTGCCTAAGATCTTTGGTAACATACAAACGAACTTGTTGATTTCATTGATATAGATTAACTGAAATATGTGAATGCATTAGACTGTTTATACTCAGTACTGTCTTTCTTCAAAAAATGATTGTAATACTATTCTAGTTTTTTCTTTGAGTCTACTGTTCACTGTCCATATTTCCCTTGCTCTGTGAAGGGATAAAAAATTATGAAAGAATGAAAAAAATTAACAGCTTGACTAACGAATCATTTTGACGTTAAACATTTGAAATAAAAATTGTCAGCAATAAATTAGTCAAAAATATCAAACTGAATTTCTCTTTTGAAAATTTATTAAGCTAATTCTTCAAAGATTTCAATAGTTTGAAGAAATTGATTATTTTGAACACTATTTTATTTGCAGGCTGGCATGTGTTAGTCAGTAAACGATTAACTGATTCTACCAATTTGTGATTATTCACCAATTCATATCACAAATGTACTGGATAGAACTAAAGTTTCCATGTTACGTGATGATGATTAACTATTAAGTCCTAGGTAAAATCATCGATATTTCTGAACGCCGTACCATTCAAGCGAAATGGTGACTTATGTTCGTTGACACTGAGTATTGTAATTTCTCGTCTTAAGTTTCAGACTTCATGGAGGGTATTAACTGCCTTTAGAAAGAGGTATTAATGGAATATTTGATTGTCGTTTTATTATTTTAATCTTATTTTGCATTTGGCCATATCATTAGTTTGGAAACAGTAAGAGATCTTAGTCCTTGATTCCCAGTGACTGTCAGTTCATCACTATAACCTGTGAAGTAGTAGATGATAATGTTGTATATGTGCTAAAATATTAAAATCTTTTTATACCCACTAATTCACTACTTAGGAAATAATTGATTTTCACTGATTACTCGTGTGTTTGCAATCGCAATTTTCAAATTCATTGTTCTATGAATAGCATTTAGGATGAAGCAAATATATAACTCAAAAAGTACGTTTATTTTCTAATTGCATGACTACTTATTCGTTCAGCTCCTGCAAGTGGTATGGTAGATTCTCAGATACCTTGACTTGTATTTTACTTTAGCTATGACGAGATATTAATAAACTCTATATTCTATTTTGTGTTACAGTATTTACAAACGATTGTCTTCAATTCCTCATTTTTTTCCTACTTCATTGATGAATCCTATGGTTTACACAGCCATAAATGTTTGATGTGGAGAAACAGTTGACATATGATTATCTTGCAAACTTTTAACAATTTATAAGGTAGATGTGGTTATAACTGAGCTACTGAAACCTGATGATTATGATGGACTTGTAAGCTCTTATTAACATGTTTACATACTTCTATTTCAACCATTAGCAGAAAGTATTTTACAGTTTATTAATCCCATACAATGTCCACTAATATTAAGAACAATGCAATTATATTTTCCTACAGTTTAACTATCAAACATTCTATGATATCCAGTAATTTACAAAATTCTTATGTTTTATGAAATTTTTCACTTTACTCTTGCAACTAATCAAAAGCTGAATTCCAAATTTTTGATCAAATTTTTGTTTGATAGTAAAATAAATTCTTTTATCTGATAAAGGTTATGAAATCTGAGTGAACCGAGTATTTATGTATGGATTTTAATTGTATTTTCATGTTTATTGAAGTTATTTTAGGTAAATGTTTCATAAGTATGGTGAACAAGTATACGAGCTTAATTATATAACTCTGAGTAAAAATATTATTAAGCTGTGATTGACAATAAATAAATAAAAAAACAATTACTCTGGTGTTAGTTTTAGAAGTACGATTTTTCGTTTATTTGTTTCATAAAGTGCTCTGTTTATCGATCAGTTTAGTAATTCATGTATATTTTCACATAAGGCGTAGTTAAATACAGGTTACATATACTTTTTTAGTAACTAATAAAGCGCATAAAACTTAGGCAGACAAATTCGTTTTGCTAAATTTCGATTGAAATCAAATATTTTCATTCAGGCGAAATACGTTTCTCACCAAAATATCCGAGTATGTGATCAGGATACCATGATTTTCTTTATACTTTTCAGACCATAACAAACTGTGAATATTGGTTAACTAAAGCACGTCAGGCATGTGAAAATCAATTTGATTTGAATATTCTAACTGACGATCTTATAAAACCTGATGGTCTTTTGGAAACAGTTGCATCAAGGCTTATCAAACCTGTTGAGTCTATTTCGGAAGAACCAAATTTTGATCTTTCTCAGAATACGCATGAGCAAGATTCTCACAAAGAAGGTTCGAAAACAAGTGAACTACTCACAGAGTCTACAGATAAAGTTGATGGAAAACCTCTGAAATTACTTACCGATACAACACCAGATTTGGATCTTGTAAAGACCAGTCAGTACAATGAAGCTAACAGACGAGTGGTTATTGGTTCGGCACGACTTCTGAGTCAGGTGTGTAAAATTTTTTTTATATTTGTATGTATTTTATTCTGATCTAGAACCGTCCCACAAGATGAAAAATATAGTGTTTTCTATGCTTGCGCTAATTAAGATACGACTAGTTATCAGCGAACTGAACTTAAATTAGCGACACAAAAACGGGGCAATTTATTTATTTACTGCGGACCAGCCCAAATAGCTAGAGCCAGAAATCCAACACCTCCCTCTTTTAACAACCGATATTCTTTATGCTCACCTACATCTTGATCGTTCGTCAACGCTCGAGATCTGAACTCCAATAAGCTCTAACCCCCAGGGTGACTAATTGAGGAATAAGGTGATAGCTCAAAGTCATATATGCCTTGATCTATTGTTGTAGTGTGAAAGACTGGTGTATTATGTGGATATAACATTTTTCTTAAATCAATAGATATTGTTTTTAATTAAGATTGCTTACTCTCCGACGGTTAATTATCAATATATCGTAAATCTTTGACACTTTATAAACGTAAATCATTAAACCAGACGAAAGAGAAATGAGTAAATTCATTTTCTTGACTAAGAAGTGGTATCCGAATAGTTTTATTCGATTGACAGCGTTAAATGCAGTAAATGGCATTCAATGTGTGTTCAACACTAGTGAAGCTTCGTTTCAGAAATTTTCTTTTCACTTTATTTTAAGATTAAATGTTATAAGTTTATGTAGAAACCATACTTTGCAGATTAGCTTCCATTTTCTCTATATAATTTTCCAAATTAATTTAATAGTTTCTTTTGTATAAGATTTTGAATTTCATGTACACATTAATATGAACAGACCATCTAATTAACTAGGTTCAAATTCTAACCACTGCATCACAAGATAGAACTCACTGACTTTTGACAGTCAGATGTTATTCTCATCCTTAAACAAGTGTTTCCTTATGTGAAGTTACTTAACAGTTAGTATCTCAATTTTTAATTTTTAGATTTTGTCAGAAAATCACTTGCTCAATATACTAGATGAAAAATTAATTTCACAAAAGCATCCCAACTTTCTGTGTAAAGATGAATTTAACAAAATAGATAAGTTAATCATTAGAAAGCAAGAATCCGCTCCATGTACCAGTACCTCACCCACCTATGATAATGATTATGAAAAGTCAATTGATACAACCAGTACTACAAAACTGTCATCTCCCGCAATTTTATCGTCAACTCAAAAATCTCCACTAAGCGATAATCAATTACCATCGAATGGGCATATAACTGAATTGCTAAAGAATATTATTGGGAAGTGTTGGGAATACCGTGAAGATGTAGATGTTTATCGTGAATATCTAGGAATCTTGGAACGTGAGTCGATATTTATTTGACTACAGTGTGGAAATGTATTTTGATGTATATCATTTGCAGTGAATAGTTAATATTCTGATCTGAGATTCAATAACAAAAACAAACTTTTCAGTAGTGGACATATCTTTATCTTTAATATAAATTCCTTATCCTATTCTTTCTAAAAGATAATAGCACATTTCAGATGAACTGGCTGGGCAATTTATGCTGTGTTGATGAACAAATGATATAGAATAATTAAAATTAACAACGAATAACAGCTGTTCTGTTCAGTATGTGTTGTTTCACTGACCACGTATGGTGTTTGAATTCGAAAAACTAATCATTTATAGAAATATAAATCTGTTTGTGCACATTTACCCATTATGAAAATACAACAGGTAAACTGTTCATCAACTAATTGATATGAGGAGATAAACTATTTTATAAATGTATCGACAATAGATACTACTTTAGATCACAATCTTAAGTGATAGGTTGATGAAGATAATTAAATACAGCTCTATTAGAATACGCTGTTATTCTTAAGTCATACTTTAGAACCACCATAGGTAGTAGCATTATTCTTTATGATTTTGAGACATCTTCGAGTATATTTGAGTATAAAATGTTACAAATTCTGAGTTTAACATCTTGGCTACATTCAACACTGTCTACCAACAGAAGGATGATAATGTTATCCCAATGAAAAGTAAGCCTGCGAATGACAGTTACTATAAAAAATACACCACATTTTTGAAACCTAGAACAAGAACATATACAAAATGTACTTAATCTACATGAGATCTCCAACAGTTGGCTGTATATTTATGTCATTTTAGTTATGCATATCTTCACTAGCCCTTATTTGACTTTAACCATACATCTCCCATTTAACATTAATATATTTGCTGAATGTATCTTCGATACTTATCAGATGCCATAATTTGTCCATCTCTGTTAATTCATAATTGTGAATCATTATTAAAGTCCATATCATTATAAGTAATGTTTCCTTCTTTGGTAGTTATAATAGCGAAAAACGATTGTGAAATTAAGAATAAATGAGACTGGAATACGGAACTTTTTTCACTAGAAAATTTTTATCTTATTATTTTCATTTAGAAAACATTATTTCATTTTATCAACGTAATTTTCATTGATTTTATCATCGAATTCAGCATTATTAAAACATACAGAAACAATGTGTGATACAGTGGTTGAAAATGGTGGTCTTCGTAGTTTAATTTATGCTTGTCGTTCAAGTGACTTACCATCTCTACGTCAAACAGCTGTATGTTTAATGAATTTAGCGGTATTTGGTGGAAGTGGAAGTCATAGTGAAATGATGCGTCAACATGCAATTGAATGGTTATTTTGTTTAGCTTTTCATCAAGATGAAGTAATTAAATATTTTGCATGCTTAACTAGTGCTGTACTATCTACTAATCCGTAAGTAATCCAATTTGACTTTTATTACTGTTTTTTCCAATTATTCCATGATTGGTAATATACATTTATCATACTGTTTCTGTTTTATGCACTGTAAAACTTAGTCAGTATGGTTATGGATCAACTTTGATCACTGGTTTATTAAAATTTCCAAATTTCCTAATTTAATTAACTAAAACGTTTCAGTGATGGTTGATTGGTCGTAGAAAAAAATAATTACAGTGGGTTTTCAGGCATGTTCATAGCTAGATCATACTTAACATGCTGAATGTTCGTGAATATTTGATAGTGAAAAAGTAAACAATGAATCATGAACAATATAATGGAATAGTTTTAAACATAATGTTTTAAAATATATGAATGAAAATGAATATAGTTTCTTGTTCCTTAGTGAATTGCATTGACATATGCTTTTTAACTAGTTTAACTTAGTGATTTAATCTAATCTCGTTTATCTGTAATTTTCCCAAATCTCTACTTTTTCAGAGTAAATGTCTTAAAACAAACACAGTGTTACGTCTTTTTATGTGTTTTACTTCACATGAAGTCATAAAAGTTTTTTTGCGAATGCCTAATTTTGAAAAGTTATCTAAAAAGGGTAACTTTGTCAGTTATCCAAAAAAATTCATTTCTCAATTGCCATATCGAGATGTAACAAAAATCATTGATAGAGATTACGAATAATTGGATTCTGTATAATTTTTTTCTTTTTGCTTGTCAAATTGTCATTGAACTTATGAAAAGAAAAAATAACAGTCTGTTGGTATTTTCTTAATACTGACTGTTTAATGTTATATTTCAATCTCTATATTACCAGAACTGATTCAAAACGTAATTTCTTTGTTTTATGCTAGCTAATTAAAAATAAAAATACCTGTCAATCAATTCAATCTAATGTATATTGAATTTTATGTTTGTTGATTATATGAATGATGTATATATACTCGTGAAATATTAGTTGTATACAAATAATGTTATGTACTCTGTGTTGTTTCCATAAAAACAGAATAATTTCTTTTGGATTTTCATAATGACAATAATTGAATAAATCTAATAAAAACTTTGTTATACATCTAAATTCATCAAGGTATACATATTGTAAGTTGGTTGAGTTCTCAAAATAATTTATTTAATAGTGTTAGTCGGTCTAATTCTTTGAAAATACTTAAGCTGACAATATATAGAGACTGTTCAGCCTATCTTACTCACTTTAGATTCGAGAAAGGCTCATGGTGTTACATAATAATGAATTTAATAATGTTACTTAGGATCTGATTATGGTTTTAAGATATGAGAGTTGATTACAATAAGCTCACTAACTGGTCAAATATTCAATATTCATAGATTTCAAAATGTTATGCAATTGTCGATAACATTATTTAGCACTCCATTTGTTCTGATGTCCTTTTCCCATAGTCACTGGATCAAGTTCAAGGGATTCTGTAGACGGACCCAACTGTTAAGTATCGCGAAATAAAATAACATACATATATTGTTATAATATTAAAACATACACCGAATAATTTAGTTCCTGTATTTATTATCTGACATATTTGATCTTCCAATAATCTTATTTGGTCACTCAGTGTAGATGAGTAGTTGTCAACCTTATGTTCAATGAGAAATTAAGAAAAGACCTACTAGATACAGAGGTTTGATCTGTTCTGAAAATATATGACAGTTCAATATTTTGAATATAGTTTCATAAATGAAATATCTATTTCACAGTTGATGTTCATTTGTTTATGTTAAAACATTAGCATTATTTTATCTTTCTATTTCTAACACAACTATTATATAGTTATATTTTTTATACACTAAAAACGTTTGAACAATGAAATGACCAATGATGTAGCTATTTTTTCTCCGGTAATAAAACAATACATGTCCGAAAAAGTTACATTTATGTTGTTAGTATCAGTCAACCGAGATAATTTTTGGGTACAGCTGTTTAGTGGATTTATTATCGGTCAACTGTTTGCTAAATTTTAAAGTATTTGGTGAGCATAAAATATAGTGTAATAATGTAAAATACTCCTAATCTCGGTTTAGTTACCTGTGATTACGTTCATTTGTATTGTAGTGTTTATCTAATTTTTAAAATATTTTAGCTATTTTTTCAATTATTTTAGTCTAAACTATGTTCTTTGAAATTCACCCACGAAAATGATATCGTTAGATTTATCAGAACACTAAGCACCATACAAATTTAATCTTAACCATTAAAATGACGTCAGTGATGTTACCATTCAATAATCGAATTTTCAAATGACTCTCTATAGATCTAGTCGGTTTACATGAACTAGTCATTTACTGACGTGTTTTCTTACGTTGTGTTGTTCTCGACTGAGATCACAATTCGATGACTGATCAATCTGTGATAATATTATTAACAACAATAAAAGAAGTACAGAGAGAAAGAGAGGGAAGCAAAGCATAAGAAAAAGCAAATAAAGATGATGATGATGATGATAATGACGGAGACAAAAGCGAGGAGAAAGAAGATAGAGAAGGAGAAGATTGAATGGAAAGAAAGAGAGCAAAAATGTAGGGCGGAAAAGGACGCAAAGGTGACTGACTAGCAGATGGACAAGAGAGAGAAAGAAAACATCTAGAAAGAAGTAACATAAAAATGAATTAAAAAAACAATTCACAGAAGTAGACATTTTTAATGTATGATAAGCTTTCAAATCTACTCTTCTGTTCTTAAAAAAGCAATACTTTTTACCATACTTTTATGTAATTATTCAAATCATATTTTCCGTAATAAGACAATTTTTGTGTTCTCCGTTAACGTTCTTTCCAGGTTACATTTTATAAACTTAAAAATTTATTTATTTTTTTATATGACATTTGCAAACTCTCTATTTAAATGTTAAAATTCTTTTCCTCCTGTTTTTAAGTGAATTAGTCGCTGCAGTAAATGCTTCTTGTACACTCGACCTAGTGATGCCTTTTGTACGTTCACATTCACCGATAGAATTCGCTCGTCAAAATTTAGTTGCTGCTTTTCAACACTCTTGTAAGAATAATGTATCAGATACTTCAGAGCCACAAAAATCTCTTTCTAGTAATCCATCAGATCTTTCAAAATATTGCTGTGAAAATCAGTATACAGGTGGATCGGCTGATTGGTTGAAACGATTAATACCAGTTATGTTCAGTAAACAATTTGAACCACGTGTTTTAGTCGCTTTTCATTTTGCTGTTGAAGCTACACTGAAATCTGATATGAATTGCAGTCAGGTGAGTGTGTTGTTAATTCTAGTTTGCCTTTCTTTGAAGTAAAAGTTGTAATCATTGAATGTCATTTAATGACATATAGTGAAACCTAGACTAATCTCTAATGTCCGCAGTGTCATAACGTCAAGTAACATTAAATTGAAATGTAAACACTAGCCGATGCTCTTAATATCTCAACATGTTTTTAGTTGAAAAGGTTACGTTTGAGTTATCTGAACAATATGATATAAATATGAATCGCACCAGTTTTTTTTCAAAATTGTATCGAACTAGCATTTACTACTAAATAAACTTTAATGAATGTAAAAACCAAGTTTTGAGAAAGGTTCTGTTTAAGTAATTTAAATGACCTTAATATTTAGCATTATTCACAAGTGTTATCTTTTCTTTGCTTACTTCTTTTTCAGGCTTTCTACGAATCAGAAATTGTGGAAATATTACGTAATGTTGTCTGTAGTTCAACCTTTCTTGAGTCGAAATTTGCAGCAATGGCTCTGCATATTTTAGGTGAAAACGTTCCTTCTAGATTGCCAGCCCAAGTACCTTTATGGGATTACGCTGAAGTTGAATGCTGGTTGATTCGTGTCAGTTGACATATATATATATATATATATATATATATATATATATATGTTGTGTGCATATATAATTCTAATTAAATGATCACGAAATTTCTGTTTGCTTAAAATAATTAAATTTCAAACAATTATTAAACATATGATTAATAGTTAGAAAAATCTTAAATTCACTATATTTTCAATTAAAACAGTTTATCACCCTGACCATAGAATGTTTTTAACCAGAAGATGAATGACTGAAATTCTTATATAATGCTTCTAGAATTGCTAGACTTTTATCAGATGTTTATAGTGTTCTTTCATAAAGAGGCATTTTAGAACCTTTTCTACTCTTTGAAATTTGTTTATTGTGTGACAGTAATCGATTTTAAAAAGTCACAAAATGTGGTAAGTTACTCTAAACTCTCCTTTTATAATATTATCGAAAAAAATATTCGGAATCCGGTGTTAAAAATACTTCTTATTACTTCTTGATATATATGTAAGATATATCCTGTATGCTTTCGGTATGCGATATCTATCCATGGACTTATGAAGGTATGAAAAGTCGACGTTATGAAGTTGTTAATGACAGCGGTGTTTAGCCGTAACATTGGTCTGTGGAAAAATCATTGAATACTACCTTCTTAATGTAGTTTCAAATTCTACAACCACTACCATTGAATAGCCCTAAATATGTGGTTTCAAACACACACTTAGATAATATGTCGGTTTATGGTTAAGTTCAGTATCACCACTATATCATACCTCACCTTCCATTGGTAAGGCTTAAAGATGTTCCCCATATAACTATGCCAGTGTAACTATTACTACTTCGTCTTTTTAGTTGAATTTCGTGTTGCATGTATTCTGCGGCAAATACTTTTGAATCTATGTAACTGTATCTATTTAGTACATATATTTTTTGTTACACACAGAAAATCAAACCATGTGATTTATTCTCAGCAACTACTAACGGTTTCCTTGTGACTTATCAGTAAACTCAATCTCTTTCACTAGAAAAAATCTATGAAGTTAACTCACCCCAGCGATTGACTTGATAGTCTTAATATTGAGGACATCCAACACCAGTACCAAAAACGTCTCGTAATCATCAGTTTGGAATACAATTATTTACATGTTGGATTTCACTTAATTCGCTGTATTAACCAGTTAAAATGCACACTTTTCCTAGCTTAGAAGAACGAGGATAACTAAATACTTTAGCCAAGACTGTAGTTGTATTATTTCAAAAAATTAGTGTTTCCCTAAAATGATAACATTATTGGATTTCAAAATGCCGCACGTTTCATTTTCAGAAAACTATCCAGGACACGCGTTTCATCCTATTAATTTTTTTGTGCAGAATATTTCAGATTAACATCTGTAAACTTTAGTTTAAAAAATGTCGTATTTAACATTCACATTAAATTACAAAATCTATCAAATACAGCATACCATATACTTTAGAAGCAGTCAGAAAAAATTCTTAACTTCATTTTTTGACTTTATTGGTATTTACTTAAAAAAACTAGTGATAATTAAGAGAAAACAGCTTTAATATGTGTTAGAAATCCAAACCTACCTCATTCAATGCAAAATTCTAGAGAATGATTATTAAAGAGTTTAAATGGGAATAAAGCAGATAAAAAAAGTAGAGGTGGTGTACTGACAGAAAACCGTACGGAAACTGATACCGTGAAATTTAGTCGTTTCCAGCGACCAATATGAATGAAAAGGGATATTTTCAACGTCTGAATAATGCTACATCGTTTTGATTAACAGATAGTCAATCATCAATATTTTGCTCATAGTGCTTTTGTTAATTGCACGAAAACAATGAATAGTAAAATATAATACTTCTTCTCTTTCCTTAGAGAGGATTTGAAGATTTGGCTGCTAAATTTTCAGAGCTACGTGTTGATGGCGATTTATTACTTAAACTAGATGAATTCAAATTAGAGAAGGATCTAGGACTTGTAAATGGAATTACACGATCACGGTAAGCGTTTATTTATACTTTATTTCACTGTTTCCTCCCTTTTCTAAATAAAACAGATTATTACGTGAATTATGCTCTTTGAAGATTAATGCCGATTACTCAGCTGTCGATCCAACTGGAATTTCCACTTGGCTACGTGAAGCCACACGTATTACTGCTTTGAATAATATTAATACACCAATAAATGTGAATACATCAGATTACAGTATGATTGAAAACGATTTTCAGTGGACAACAGCTTCTAATTCCAAGTATTGTTACACACATGATTTATCTTGTTTAAATCAATCATTTGATCTTCTGCAATACGCATATAATTTTATTTCAGCCGGTGTGCATTATCCTTTCTTGCCTTATCTATCAGATAAAATGCTTTTAGAAGATTGTCGTATTAAAAATGGGATACATCGTAAACGAATTTTAGAAGCGATTCAATGTAAGTAAAACAAAACCTTAATCTGTTTTAATGTTGATTCAAAATGTTTGTTTGATTATTTTTTATATTACTATTCAAGAAAGCCTTTTAATTTAACATAAATCACGTCATCACTTAACAACTATCCTGACCGATTGCAACTCAAACAGATTCTTAGAAAAGTTATTTCAACTGGTGAAAATTTAAAAAAACGTAGTTGTATATCATAATTAATTGCCTGTAACAATATTACATTAGTAAAATCAGATTATATACAATGAATAATCACCAATAAGTACATGAACCTATATTACAATACGTGTGTGTATTATTTCATGAAAAATTTAAGTTTTCTGTGATTTTCGACCAATGGATCTGTTACGTATTATCAATATTCAATTACCAGGTCAATGGTTTTGTTTTGTTCTGTATTAAAGCGAAAATAGTATTCACATGTTATACAGACAGACAGACAGATACAGCGCAGAACTTCATACATAAGTACATCGGTTCAGGTTGCCATACTACGTCAGCACAGAATGCTATACATATGGTTTACAATATCATCTAAATAAGGATTGAGATTTTTACAATAGTAAAAAACCAGAAAAATGAAGAAAAAGTATATTGAACATGTTATTTATTCAAGCATAGATTTTCTATAATTAAACATGTTGTCACATCAAACAGTATTTCCATATCTGTCTATAATTAAACATTCATAAGCATTATCTATTATTCATCTACATCATAAACGAAAAACTCACGAGCATATTAATTCACTTCTATTGGTTGTTTGAATTTTCCTATTGGTGTTTAGGACTGCCAATGATCAGTCTGTTTGGTATATATTCATCCTGAGCAGATTGTTTCGATATAGTTTTTAGATTAGAAGCATTATTAGTGGAGATGGTTAGTAGTTAGCAGTTGAATCCTGAATGCGCGTAACCTAGAGGCTATATCGAGGCAATCCGCAAAGGACGCACAAATGCTAAACAGACTGACTTATTGCAGCCCTAAACATCAATGGGAAGATTCACACAAAAAAATACAAATGAATCGACCCTTATCGTATGGCACCAGCGATTAGATATTTGGATTCTGTAGCTAAGGGGATAACGCAATGATCTTAGCAGAAAACAGCAATGGGTTGGAGTCCCAAACAGGACGAAACACGTGTACTGTATTCAACTGCTAATCATTATCCTTCTCTGCTGACACTGAGTATATTCATTGTTTTACAGTGTTATGTCTGAAGACATATCCTGGATTATTAAGTGACAGGGTACTTTGGTTTTGTCATCACTAATTAGCTGAATGAAATCTGTTTCGAATTCCATATCAAAAAACAATCGATTTCTGCTATTTATTCAACGTTTTCTATTCACAAGCACAATCAGTACTTCGTTTGGTTCGTAACAACAATATATTTAATTACAAGCCTTCCAGTTAAGCCATCATACAATGAAGGTGCCTGAAGCATTCGGTTTTGTGCATGAAAAGTATGTCAAGAGAACTGGGTGTATTTCGTGATATATAATGGCTGCCGCTAGTTGAAAAGGATAGATTTTTTTAACGTTCGAAGTGATCAATGCCATTTCTAACGTTGATGTGGTGTACATACCCAAGTTATGACGAACTATATTTGATTCCAATAATAACGAAAGCCAAAAAGAATCCATTAAAGAGAACATTCTATTGATCATTTTTTGCTGCTTTCGGTCAGATAACTGTAAATTATAATTCCATACTCCAACACTTTGCTTATCAGTTCATTGTTATTACTTTAATTACTATCGTAATAATTTTAACACTCATATCTTTTTTTAAAAATTATATTACTTTCCTTATACTTTATTCTAGCTTCCATATCATCACAAAATCAGTTACGTCTTACAGATAAAGATTCCAAATTAAACACTTTAAGTCATCCAAACAAATATATTGATATATTTATTTCTTATCGTCGTTCAACTGGTTCTCAGTTGGCGAGTTTATTGAAAGTTCATTTTCATTTACGTGGTTATCGAGTGTTTTTAGATATTGATCGTTTAACTGCTGGAAAATTTCATGAATCACTACTTCATTCTATTAAATCATCATATAATTTTGTTCTTGTTTTAACATCAAGAGCATTAGATAGATGTATAAATGATACACATTGTACAGATTGGATACATAAAGTAAGTTAATTTTCATTTATAAATGTATTGATATTTCTAAATTATATGGAATATATAGAATATAGAATATGTATATAGCTGGTTGTTTCAATGTTCACACAATCATAATTAAACTAATTTTTTTCAGTTAACATCAATAACACCTCCAAATCAAAAAAAAGATCTCCATACATTTTAAATAATAATTTTTTAGTCTAAAAAAATTAAACAGTTACCAAATAGTAATTTATAAATCATACATCTTGAATAGCTTTTAATATTTCGGTTCAGTAATTTTCAACACAAAACTAAAACAGTCAATTTATTTTGCTTATAGTCTCTTTCTTTTTAGTTATTTATTTTAAGTTGAGGTTACGATTTCTTTCAATATTTTTTTTTTTGACATTTACTGTTTGTTGGACAACATTTAGAATATTTATTGTTTACCTATCTTGTGATTAATGTTCAATGAATATAATTGTTTATGATTTGTAGTTCATTTAACTGATAAATGCTTAAGTGCAACTAATTGGTTAATTTATCGTTTTTAATTCATCTTTGATACACAGCTTTTTAAAATTAAAATGTTATGCAAAAAAGTTTCATCATTGTAACTGCTAATCACAAATTCTTATAATCATTATGCAAATATAAACTTGAACTGTCTTCCGAAATAAGTTCACTACTCACTGTTTTTGTAAATTACTAGGACTGTTTACTGAACTTTCATTGAATCGTAAATATAGATTTGCTTTTTATTAATTATACGCAAGGTACTAAATCCGTTATCGTTTTCATATCAATTTCAAAACAACGTTGTTCTACATTAGCCTTTTTTTAGTCTTCATTTTCTAATTCGTTTAGTTCACTTCTGTTCCACAGCTTTTACATATATATCTCTTAGTCACTTATGTTGGGTCAATTTTACGCTCATGGTTTCTGCTTTTAACAACTCTAAAGTCAAAAGTTAAGCAGCATTTTCTGAAATGTCATCATTTTTTAGTTATTTCTTGCAAACACAAGATAACCTCAGTAACATATAACAAACCATAGTTTTACATAATTTATTACTGAAATCATGCAATAATCATTGTTAGACCACCAATAGAAACCTGGAAGCATTGGACGGCCGTTTCGTCCTCATATGGGACTCATCAGCAGTGCGCATCCACGATTCTTGATACTCGCAGGAGCTGACCTTCCAAAATGAGCAATTTTTATGGTGGAATTTTAAATAATGTCCTCAGATATTGAAATCGTGAACCAATACAGCAATGCACATCCACGATGATGCTACCGAGTGTCAATAATGCCCAATAAGTGACTTCTGATTCAACTTATACTTCCTCACCTTCCAATAAGATTACTATGATCTGTAATTTGATCTACACTTGCTTAAGTACAATTCAGTCTAAAGTGAGTCAATCACTGTTGTGCGAAGTAAAACCTATCATATGTGCATCGGTTCCTCGTTATCATACTACATTAACACAGCTCGATAGAATAATCTGAAGACAAATTTGAGCGAAGTAGAGGTAATAGCAGTATCAACACTGATAAGAAGGATTGGATCTAAGTAAAGAAAAAAGATATAATGAGATTTCAGAACTCAAATTATGGAAGAATACAAGAAGTAAATAAAAGTACACTACTGTCAACGATTCTCAGTCATGTCACCCAAAGTCGTTGACCACTGATTGCATTAATTATATCCTCACTTTTATCGAGAATTAAGTGGTTTGAAATGAGAAATGCAGTCAAAATTAACAACTGCTGTAAAACGAAATTCCAAACGGAATATTTAGATTTTTTTTCATTTACAAACGCAGAGAAATTGATGGCTTGATTACAGTAACTTTAATTGTCATATGTTTTTCATAAACGTATTCCATAAAATCACTCTCTAAAGGCGTTGGATCTAACAAAACATAATCTTATTCATTAAAATCAGAGTCATATGCATTGAATCTTTTCAAAAATACACTTACAGAATATTGATAACATTCATAGAATTATAAATTCTATTCTTCTTGTTATCATTAATATTATTTATCTACTGACTAATTTGAATAATTTCATTTTGTTTTATAAATTTTCTATTTAACAAGGAACTTGTATGTGCATTAGAAAGTGGATGTAATATCATACCAATTACGGATAATTTTACATGGCCATCAGCTGATTCATTACCAGAAGACATTAGATCAATAACCACCTATAATGCAGTAAAGTAAGTTTAACAAATGAACAATTGACTCAAATTACAAAATAAATTAAAAATTGTTAATTTTTATCTTAATATAAATGCCTATTGTCTTGATGGTGTACTGTAAATTATATTTTTGTAAATGGTTTAATAAGCATTTTATCTCAAAATATATCGATTAACAAACTCTTACATAATTCCACTACTCCATTAATAATGCATATATATATTTAATACTGTTGTAATACTGATTGATTTCATTTCCACTTGATGGTTCCTAGGTTAACAGACTATATTTGGTGTACCTATGCAAAAAATCAAATTCAAAATAAATAATTTTTTTCAGTCTAGCACGTTTAATTAACTGAGAGAATAAATCAAATCAAATACTTTGTACATGTGAACCAGTTTGATCATGTTAATATCATGTCATTTAGGTCAATTGTTGATTCTATGTGTTTTGTGTAATCGTCTGTATGTAAGTGGTTGTAAAAAATATGATATTTATGACTTGAATGAGTAATTTTATTTTCATATTCGTTTACGGTGTGATCTTCAACTGGCTTACATTATGACTTTGGAAAATTTATTCTTGTTAGCTGAATCGTCACAATCTTCAATTTATTGAAACAGTGATTCAGACAACTATACTTTCTTTGTAGTTGAAGACGTTAGAAATTACTTAATTGTGTTTGTTAATATAGATTTGATTATTTACGAATACAACATTGGCTGTTATAGACGATTTGATGCGTAGATTATTATTTATTTCTGTTTAGCTTAACTGCCTTTAGAGAATATTTAAAATATCAGGACAAGATATTTTTCCCATAGAAACACTACTCTGCTCGAATAACATGAAATTAGAACAGTCAAAATCCATTACAGAGTTATAGAGATTGTTGTTTTTTGTTAAAATCATGAATCAATAATTGTTGTTAGAAGTCTGGAAGCACTGCACAGCCGTTTCATTATAGTGTTGGACTCTTCATCAGTGCGTATCCATGACCCCACCCGACGGGTCACAATGTGCTCAATAGTAACTACCTTCATTAGGAGTTTTAGTGAGGAGACGTGATCAGTGGGGTTCAGCCCTGTCGGGTGTAGGCAGTAACTACCGAAGATAATGTGCGAGGTTGCTTAGAAGCTTAGACTGATCAAACGTAGACAATAACACCATCGTATGCCGACTCAATGGTCTATCGGTTAAGCGTTAGCGCACGAGACAGATGGTGGGTTCAATGCTCGCGAGCAAGTGTCATGGGTGCGCACTGCTGATAAGTCGCATACTAGGACGAAACGGCCGTCCAATGTTCTAGGTTACTAATGTTAGTCTAACAGTGTTTGATTGATGATTTTAACGAACAGTCAAAATTTTTTATACATACTGAAAATTTGATCACATTATTTTTTCTGTACTGTTTTAACTTCTGGTAATTTGACTTATCTTTTGAATAAGCAGCATATTCTTATTCTAATTCCTACTCGTCATAATGTATGACAAATTAATCTGATTATTATTACTATTATTACTATCATGTTTATTTTTGACTAACAATAAAACATAAATTGAATTTTTTTTCACTGTTGTTTACAATCGATAATCAATTTCACTCACTACATGTCCTCGACTGTATTTCATGAATTGTAATTGACCAATAAAAAATATAAAAAAACACCCTTTCTTTTCATTTCATTACATTTCAATAATTTGCCTTACTACATTTCTACAAAATACTTTGAAATAAAATAAATACTGATCAGATTTTTAAAAATTTAAATTTATTACCTTAATTATTGAACCAATCTTAAATAGGTCCTTTAGTCAAAAATAAAAGGTTTAAAGAAGCAACTGAAAAACACTTTAAGCATGTAATTGTGTAAGTTTGTTTTCTGTTCGTCAATGTTTCAATTCAATTTAGTGTTAACTTTGAAGATACATTTTTCAGTGAAGTAAAAATTAAAGAGCAAAAACCTGCAATAGAAAATTTAAAATATTCAGGAATCTGTTGATAAATCATGAATGTTCAATGTTCTATTTGGCTAGTATACTTAATCTTGTAGATTATTTATGAAACTGCAATTTCTTTTTTCCTTTTCTAAATATACACACACATAAAAGTATTTCATTAAACGATAATATGCTCGCTTGTATGTGATTAGACGAACAAAACAGAGCTAGTTTTTTTCATTGATTCTTCAAAAGGTAACTTGAGAACATAATTACAACAGGCAAAAAATAATCAAATTAATCATGGTAAATAGGAATTTAGTTATATTTTTTTCTATTTTATTTCTTTTTGTCGAAAAATATTTATACATCTACAAAGATACAGGCATACAAGTTTTATTATAAGAAATATGATACAGTAAAAAGAAATGAATTTTTTCATGCATGATAAATTACTTTAATCTTAATGTGTTTTCTTTTTTCTTATGTAACCTAATGTATATAAGATTATTTGGCTAAATAAACTTAGAGAGAACGCCGTTATTTGTTTTGTTTTATTTTGTGATCAGAATTATGACACTTTAGATTTACTTCAATCTCTCTCCACAATTTAGTACTTTAGCTTTTATCATTTATAAATGCTATAGAGAATGTGTATGTGTTAGCTGGAAAAAAAAATTGTTCAGCAATTTTAGTTTTAGTATGTCATTTTGTTTTGTTTGCATACAATTATCAACTTAGAAATCAATAGTCATGATTTTTGTTTACATGGTTATTGTCATTGCTAAAATAATGAATGCGTATTGAACGATCGAATCATCAAATCAATTTCTCTCAGATTGATTCAAATAACGCGAGCGAACAGAATTCAATAGGCTTATTTAGATTTAAATATATAAGTCTCATTAGAATTTATTTAAATTTGAAAATTGAATTTCAACTATTTTGCAAGGTTATCACTGTTTGGATACTGACTCGGTGGTGTAAAGGTTAAGCGTTTGTGAGCGAGGTTGAAGGTCTTTATTTCCATTCTCGTTCGCGAGGTCATACATTCGTACATCTAGTGAGTCCCATAATTGGACGAACTGGCCTTTCTGGTGCTTCCAGATTTCCAATGACAGTCTAACATTGATCGGTTTGTGGTTTCGATACCTTGATACATTTTTATAGAATTATTAATAATCCAGTGACTCTAAACTAAGTGTTTGGTAAATTGATATTACAAACTTAACATTCCTGTTATCTATATCTGTGTCGTATTTATTTATACATCTTTATAGTTTTCTTAGTTAACGTGTCAAAATTAACTTCAAATTTTATTTATGATAATGAAATATCTTAATCTTACTGGTAATCAATTAGGACTTCAATAACTCTCTTAAAGTGAATTTGACTGAGTATGGATATGTGATTATCTGTTCATTCAATGTTAAAATTAAATCTTTTTAACAGATACCGTTGAGAAAACAAGCTCATATGTAACTGTCAACTCACTTCGACCACATGATATTGATTTTCACTTAGATGATAGCGTGTAATAATTATTTAGCAAGATTGTCTATTAATCTTAATATATGGAATAAATTATTAAATTCTTTAACGAAACTGTTGTGAAATTCTTGAAAATAGTTTTTACTGAACTGATTGTCGCACGGGTTCGCTACATATATATATTTCAAGATTCGTTTTTTATATTTAATTTGAAACCTTAAGGGAATATTTCACTTATTATGTTTAGTGTGAGATTTTAAAAAAAAACATTTTTATTTTGATTGAAATCTCAAGTTTACTGTAAACACTCCTATAATTTCTCTGATCTTTTCTCTTTAAGTAAACCAGTTCAACAAGCATTCAAGAAATGAATGAAAATTTTATCAATAATAAAATGACATAAACTTTTACATGTTTATATGTATGCAGTTAATGAATTTTTTTTCTGTTTTGTAAAAGAAACTTGTTGAAATGTTTTGTGCTGTCAATTCCATATTGTACTAAACATATAATATTGAATATAGCCATTATTATATGCTTCGTCTTCACACATCAGTAATACATTATGTCCAAAAGATTAATTCATGAATAATCATACAACTGAAAATACAATTTAATATGTTTTTTTATTCAATATTAGTAAATATTTACTGAAAATAATATTACAATTCAATGCAATATAAACAATTGAAGTTGTAATCAATTTTTTTCCGTTGTAAAAGTTTTTAAAAAAATAGAATGAATAATTTTCTTCCTTGAATAAGCTTATCAATTATACGAAATGTTAATTGATAATAATTTATTTGAAAAAAAATTTTAAAAATTATACAGCTGAATAAACATTGTAAACTGATTACTATTTACTTTTTGTATTTATTCAATTCTTAGCTGGATTCATGATTATCAAGAGGCATGTATTGATAAAGTGGAAAAATTCATGATTAAACCAATCACTTCAACACCTTTACCATGTAATCAAATTAAACCATTTAATCATTGAATTAATCTCCATTTGGTTTTTATTATCTATCCTTATTTGAATTCCCATACCCTATCATCATTCTTACTTTTTACTTTCTTTATGATAACTGATTGATTTTCAAATTTGACTATGTCAAACAAGAATATATATTTGCTTGTTTATTTAATGAACAATATTGATAATCCTGTTAAATTATGCTCATTTATCATCATTTATATATATGATGATTGAGTTATATTACTACATTGATACTTATTCATATGCATTTAATGATTTTCTTTTCTTAATTATTGTCATACAGATTAACTATAATCAATCATTCATATTGATCTCATGATTATATTTAGTTTATTTTTCTTTCTTGTTTCTTGAATTAAAAATTAAAAAAAAAGAAATTTTTATTCTGAGACTTTTCCCTGTATGAAATTAATTTTATTCAATAAATAGATGAATATAAAACATTTATTACTTGTGTTAAAACTAGTTGATTGTCTTCAGTCGAATTCAGTTGTTTGTTTGATTTGGTTTTGAGTAAATAATTAAATACAAATCATGTATCGAGAATGAATTTACATTGATCGACTGTGAACACCAGCATTTTCTGAAAAACTCATTATATTAATGAGGGAAACATGAATCGAATCCTTTTGCCTAGTTCGATGGAATTCAAGTGGCTTAACTAATGAACCATTGTACAAAAAAACTATTCTGTTTACATTAATTGCAATGATAGTCATACTGGTACTAAAAATCAATGTGGTGATGCTCACTAGCCATCAAATCAAAGTGAAAAGAGTTAATTGTGGATTCACAAACTTGTTTTATGAAGCATGTCAACACAAATATGTGAGTATATTAAAATGTCATGTTCTTAAAACATAAAAGACCAGCTTTGTGAACTAATCATTTAACGAGATGTTTTTTACTTAAATATGTAAAGCTGTTACCGTAAAGTTTTTTATCTAATCCGGATATCCTTTCAAAGAATATTAGGTATTAAGTCTTACAGAAAATGCAGTTTTAAGTGGCTGGAATCATCCTCAAACAACAAGTTGACTGTGGTTCAGTCAGATAAGCAGAATGAAAAGACATAAAAACAATGAATATTAAGGTTTGAAATGAAGTTTGGAATGAAAACTACACTCTTTTATACAACATCCATTGACTAAGTAAACAGAAAGAATAAAAAGGGCTGTTTAATATACATGCTGAAAAAACATTACATATTTTCTTGGATAAGCATTACCGTCAAAGCTGCATTATTTACAAGAATAATAATCTTTTGCCTACAATATTGAACTTAATTGATCATACAAGATTTTTAAACACTGCGGCCATCTATTTCTAAAATTACTCAAAATACCTTTCTCATTAACGTGTTTTCTTAGTATAAAATCAAAATGAGACTTTGATCGGTGAATCTTACTTCAATTGAAAATATGACATCAGTGAAACATTAACTTCTCATTTGATTCGATGATTTTCAGGCGTATCTTTACTATCTTTTACATAATTTAATTATACAAACATGCGTAGGCATTATTTTCTGCATGAAATAGTTTTTTTTAATATTATGAATGGTTTGTTTTGATTTTTTTTTGTTCCTTTAATAATTTGGTTCATGTAAAATATAGTTAATTAATCTTTTATACATTTATCTACAAACAGTGCATTCTATCAACGAATTATTATCAATAGACAAAGGTCGTTCAAGGTACACTTTGTTTTGGCATACATGTAGGTTGTTTTTTTTTCTATTTCACTGAGTTCATACAAAATGAAATCTTCCTATGTACGTCATGTGGTGTAGAGAATAGAATTCTTATTTCCAAATGAATAAATCAATAAACCGAATTCACTTGTTTGATAAATATTTAAATAATGTTGAATTTTTGTTTTATTTTATTATTATAAACGTCAATTATTATACAATAATAATCTATAAATAAACTAATGTATTACGATTCAAAATATTCTGTTATAATCATAACCATATATATAATAACCAAGGAAGTTGTAAAATCCCCATTTAATTGATGAACCGTGTTGGAAAAACAATGAAAACCAAGAATCACGAGATTGATCTTTCTCCCTAATATGAAACTTTCGACTTACGTCAAGCACTATATTTCAGTTGTCACAAAGATTCCTTGGATTTTATGTCCTATTGTTTTAATCCTCATGTTCAGTCTATTCGCTCTACTGTTAGGCTAGCATACTTCACTTCTATTTCAATAATCAAACGAAAAAACTTACTTTGTCATAGCTTCACAATAAAATTTTTTTCCTAAAACTAGTCACTATTGATTATGTATTGAAGGAATATCTATCATGAGACCATCCAGTCTGTAGGCAAAAAATAAAATATGTCCAAAACTTATCGTTCTTCAGCGATATTCATAAACATTTTCTTAATTGAGATATTGAAATCTACTAGTGTTCACAAATTGCTTATATTTCTTGAAGAAATTGTTGTAATAATGTGCAGTGCCTCCACATATATTCCAGTTCGCTTACATTTAATTTGGTTAAGCCCTTTCGATTAATTTATTTAACCAAGCCATTTGTATTGCAACAATTTATATGTACCATTCGTTCTTATTATTGTCTGGTTTGTATGAGCTCACATGACGTGTTCCACTTGTCATTTGACCTTGTCAACTATTCGTCGCTTTTATTCATGTGTGCCCATTTCGCTTGTCGCATGTCTGTCTTATTTTTGTCTGACTATATATTATTAGTCATGCTCTATCTCTTTGAGTTGGCTCATTAGCCTTCTCCAACGCGCTTCGCCTGTTCATCCGCTTCCTTCGCCCATTCGTTCGCATTGTAATCCTTGGAGTTGGCTCAACAGCCTTCTCTAATTCACGTCGTTCATTCGTCTTATTCACTGCCTCTCCGCTTCGCTTTGTGGTGTGTCCCAAATAAAAGTATTCATCACTTCGAGTTCACATTCTGATTTATAAACCGTCAGACGCTAGTTAGTAACGATTGTCTAGACGAGCTAATTATCGAGCCTAAGAACACGCAGTAAATTGACACACTACAAATGCTTAAATTTATAAGTAATGCGATTATAATCAAAAAGGATTTACGAAAATGTCCATTGCTAAGGTAAAACTACTTTATTTTGAAAAGAATATTCTATCGCCGATTGACAATATCTAGAAATTATTAAATATCTACTTCGTTCTTATTTTCAACTTGTCAAAAATGCTTCCACTTTATCTCATTCAAAACCCAGGAAACTTATTTTCATATTTTGCTGTTTAAGACATAAACGTTTTACCATTGTGGAATAAACCACTTAAACAGAAATTACTGATAATTCGTGAAGTGCATATTTGACTACATACAGTCTAAATACTTTTGAAAATTATTTTTTTTTAATTGTAAAACACTCTTAAGATCTAAAGTTCTTGCAAACATTTATGTGAATTTCTAATATTGAAAACTTGTTCTGTGTAACAATTTCTCTTATTTGGTGTTTGTTAACTATCATACAATATACTCAGTACTCTTGGAAAGCTATTAGATGAACACTTATTTTCTTTCAAAATAGCAACAACAAACGAATTTGCATACCTATAATTTTACTAACAAACTCCCATTTTGAAAGTAATCAGTATCGAATTTGAATTCTTGCCAAAGCCTTCTAAATCAACTGCGCCGCGTTTCATAAATTGCTTGAAAACAGTATTTGCGATTGTAGCTCTAAAAGCCTCGGTTGTTTATTCAGCTTTCTTAGAAGGTTATTGAGATTTAATAGTATTCCACAGAATAGAGATTTTGTCTGCTTATTGCAATTTGTGTTGATGTTTTTACTTTTGTTGAGCTTGAAAATTTTAAAGTTCTGTTCATTTTACGTCAAAGCGTCTGCAAAAAGAGTATAATTCTCCCCAGTAAACTCATGAACAATAAGAAAACTGTATTATTTCAGTCATGAATTTTTAATGGTCTTTAATAATATATACGTTAGTATGTGATAGATAGGTTTATAATATATGATGACATTTAACCTTATCAATGATGATGTTAATATTGTGTTGTTTGTGCCAACTGATACAAAATGTTAATTTCGACTAGAAAACAATTTTAAACACAATTACAGCAGCTTGTTGACAACATCGTTCTGTTTGCCTTTTTATATTCAGAAAACTGTTAGTTCGTATAATCGGCACAATGAATTGAACCCATCATCTATGCATGAAATGCACAAATGAGCTCAATGTTAGTTATTTAGTTGGCGATGATCATACGATATAGAAAAGAAAATCATTTTCAATAATCTATCGCATATCTTTGTCTTTTCCTAATGAGGTTCGACCCCATCTCTTGCACACAGGAGAAGCTTTATGCTTCCATACATAAGTCTTGTTTTGATGTTTAAAAAAATTCACGATATTCCTACCACTTGGCCGGATATAATTTACTAAATAATTTTACCAAGTTTTCCACATAGTATATTGTTTGTCATTCCTTACCTCCATCCGTTTAAATTCTTGACAATTTAATTATTTACAAACTTTCTATTACGCAACTTTGACAACTTTGTAATCGTTATTTTAAGTCCTATTTATCCGATATGATTTGGAATGGATTGGATTTCCTCATTGTTTATATTTTTGACTGACACCTGACCAGTCCTATTATTTCACGTTTGACTTGAATTACTGAAGTTCAATCATTTTACCATTTTTATTACTTCAAGTACACTTTTGTAGCTCAGGGTTATTTGCATCAGCTTACAATACAACAGTAAGTCGAATGGAAATATATTGATCCTAAGCCGCAAAGATAAGTCATGATAATTATTATTGGAGAAATAAATCATATGAATCGCCGAAACAATGAACAGTATGCTCTTTCATGTTTACCGACTGATAAGCGAATGAAGATATGCAGAAGCAGGAGTAAGCTATCGCAGCTTTCATAACTATGTAAATAGGATGAACTAGCATTTTTATACTAGCAAGAATATTTTAATCATTTTACGTTGCTTTTAATTTTATACATTCACTTTATACTGTTTCGTTACTTTGCCTATATATATATATATATATAATACTGTATCTCAATATACATTTCATTATACCATTCTCAATATTTATGGTAATGTGTTTGATTCACGTGTTTCTTTCATCACTACCATGGAGACTAAATTTTAATTACAATGATCTTTTAACGATGTAATGTCATGACAATTTAACAGTAACACCCTTTTCCATTTTTCTTTATAATTTAACTGAATAATTTTTCTTCAAACATCACTATTTAAACAAAATCAAGATATGATTGTTTACCTTCGTATTCTCATTTATGTGATGAAATGTACTTATTGTATAAGAAGCATGACTGAAATTCTGCGTCACCTATTTTATAAATTGAAAACAATAACGATAGTATTGAAATCATTAACAACTCAAAGTTAAGCAACACTAAACTGCCACTTCATTCCATCGTGAGACCTTTCAGCAATGCGCACTCACGACCACACAAGCATAGATCAAACTCGGGGCCTTCTGGTCTATTATACAACTGTACTGTCAACTAATTTCGTTCACGTCTATCTTCATTCGATTTAAGATGTTATACAACCGTCATTCATCATCTTCATTGGGAAACTTCCTCACACGAGACACGGTTGCAATCCACTAGTTTCAGCTCACCACTAGAACTCCAGGACTAGACAGGTCAAACAAGCTTTGTATAGTGTAGTGCGTTCATTAGTCGAACGCACCAGTTATGCGGTGGTCGGTGTTCCATATATTCCTAAACTTCGTCTACTGCTCGTCCTGATAATCGTATTAGGGAACTCCCAAATGTGTGTATATCAGAAAACAAATGCGAAGCGCTGAATGCATTTATTATCTCACCACAAACCTAACCACCAAAACCACAGGCATACCAAAAAAAAATGATGTACGAGTATCGAAGAGCAAGCGTGTGAGTGGGCGTGTAAATATATTTGTTAACTTGGAATAAACACCACTGATTTGAAACTACTGCAGTCAGTCAGAAAGAAATTAACCTGATACTCTGTTCTTTCCTGGAGCGTTGCTTTTTTCTGTTTACAAAACTAACAAATTGTTTACGTGCTATTGTTTTCCTTAAACAAACAGTTCACGTATCATAGTCTAGTCGGTTGATCTCATGACCGAATCCAAATAGAGAAAAACAACTTATTATGGTGATTTAGTATATTAGTTTTGATTTTTCCGAACGATTAGTTATACTAAATATAAACAACTAATTAATTCTCGATTCTGTAGAATGTATAGTAGTTCAGAGATTATAACTGTTACACTTCTGTATGTGCAAATTAAAATACAGAACACATATTCATAGATAATCTATACCTCCCAATTAAATAAGTAAACTAAATTATAGAACATGAAATCTAGAACGATGGGACCAGAAAATGGTAAAGACTGACTTTAAGTTGCTTTGTATGGGGGGCTTTTCATACTAACCATGTATTCTAGTTTCCTTTTACGCATATTTTCGACTGCATACAATCCCAGGTTGATTTATCTGAAGTAGTTAGTTCTTCTGATGATTTTTATATTACTTATTAATTATAAGTAGTACAACTCATTTTCCGCAACATATGAAGCGCGAAAGCGAAGTGAAGCATGGAAGGCTAGTGCGCCATCTCCATGTGATGAGTTTTGTGGTCAGACAAAAATAAGCTAGATGTATGATAAGCGAAGTAAGAAATGCATATACTCACTTTAGGTAAAAACAACCAAGATTATAAGCGAATAATTGACAAAGTCAAAAGACCTATAAACAGTAACTCGGGAGGAAAAGTTTGATTGGTTTATACAAAATCTAGGGAAAGCTGTGAAGGCTGGACATATCAATACACACTAAAAACTTTTCCGATGTTAATTAGTTCCGAATGAATGCTACGACACTATATCATTCATTTATTTGTGTATAGCTGCATCTCACACCAAATTTTCGACAAAAGACGAGCTCAACTTTCTATATTTACAAGATACGATTCTTTTCATTCGACATATTTGATTGTTAAAACATACCTGAAATACTAAATAAGACAAAGCTATTATAGTTCAATACAAAACAAAATGTCAAAAAGAAATAAGCACTAACAATGGAATAAAATAAATGATCTTGGTATCAACCATTATTCACTAAAAAATTACAACCGATCATTTCGTATGTTGAACATTGTCCGTGATGTTGGCACATCTATTGGCGACCAGTTTGTTTGCAGTTATCACAAAATCTTAAAATTTCTACTACAATATAGGTCCGTTAGGAAAACGATTTATATGATCGATGAAGTATTTTTTAACAAATCCTGTTAAAAACTCTCCAAGACTATTAATAGACTAACGAAAATGTGAGACTGATGTTATATGGATTTGTGAACGACAAATGACATCATCGAATCTATAAAACATATTACAATTATATTAGTATAATATATTTATCTTATTTAAATTGAAATAGAAAATTTTAGTGTTTGGAAGTGCTATAATAGTAATAATCAATAATATAAAATTATAAATGCCAATTTTAAAAATAAAGATTTCATAAAAATGAAAATATGATGCGGCTTTAAAAAGGTGACCAATGCACTCTTAAGAGTTATTGTCAGTAAAATAAAAAGTACATCAACAGAAGTTTATGCATAAAAATCTTCAGTTTACAATAATATGAATAATAGCAACATCGATAATCGTTTTTTAAGAGGAAATTTGTTCTTACTTTGATACAAAATATGAATAGAAAAATATTCGGATTGACTGAATTTATGTGTCTATAAAAAGTGACAATAGGTTGGTTGCAGTTGTATTAATGGGTCTAATATTATTACTGACAATAATAGCAATATTAATATTAAATAATAATAGCAATAAAAAAATAGAAACGGCATAATGTCGTTGAATTCTCAATGCACAAGTCGACTGCAAATTCTGATTCATTTGTATTCAACGTAAATACTGTCGTAGTTCCAAGTAATTGTCTTGATCCAACATTAATTCCACGTATCCCTACGTGTGAGGTGATAGGAAAAGTCAAACAAATAAACATATAAGCTCAGTAACTTTCATTGAATAAGTAAATAAATACTTCATAAGATGTATACAGACTCCATCTCTACATCTGAAAGCATTGTACCTAAAATGTCTTCAAAAGCTTCAACATTGTATTACTGTCCAACATTGAAATACTGGTTCACACCTCGAGGTTAGTTGAAACTCTCGGATTTCAACTAAGGACAACATTTATAAGGCTAAACTTATCGTTTGATATTATCTATGTCGTTAACACTAGGAACAAGTTAATTTACTCACCTCCTTACAAATAAATGAATCATAAAAGATTCGAACGATACAACAATTTGACATGTTATCAACAAGAAATACAAAGCAATTGAAATCCGTATGTTAATATACATATGTTCGGTCACGCCTATTCATCACAAAAAAGTCATTGATAACATCAATGATTACTTTCCAAACAAATACAATCCCATCATGATTAGTACCAAATTTGCTTTCCCCTAACACTCGATCCTGCTTTCAAAGCAATCTTGTTACTTTATAGCTTCATTACAAAATTATATTTAATTTTCCACTTTACAGCTCCATACAGATACTGAAATATTACAATGTCATGAAATGGTTATATAAATCTGTTCGATTCCTATTATTGCATGAATTCGATCTCTTGTTCATATGGGTTTCTTAATGATAATATCTGAGAAATTAACAGTGATTGCTTTGAAAGATTACTTCCCTACTCAAAACAAGCATATCACCAAGATGTACAGTGATAAAATAACTAACATCCAATACTGTAGTGTTGTTGCTGATTAGACAGTTACGAAATTTCTATTTTGGAACTACATGTGTATCTGTGCAAAGATCAACTCACCTTTGTTGATTCATCTGCTTCTTCAAGGTAACCGTAATTGGATTTCATCATGGCAATTCGACTACATATGTCATAAAATCCTGGTCGACAGTCAGGATCTTGCGACCAACATTCTAACATCAGTTGATAAATTGAATTTGTGGATAAGTACGGTTTACTATTGCGATTCCCATTATTTAACCAGTCAATTATTTGTCCATTATCTATTCCAGGGTACGGTAAACCACCCAGACTGAATATTTCCCATAGAACTATTCCGTAAGACCACACATCACATTTGGAAGTATAACATTTTGGCGTGGTCAAACACTCTGGTGCCATCCACCTTACAGCTAAATAGTCCTTGGTGTTAGGAATTGGAATGCAATGAAAAAAATCCATGGGTCATAAATGTACGTCGAATAACAGAGTGTAATTATAATAATAAAATGGTATATTATAAATCAGTACAATAAAAACTTCAGTCTTTATTTAGCGAAATTAGTAAGATATGTTTGAAGTGTAAGTCAATTATCAGTTGTAATCAAGGATAGTACAAAAAACTGTTTTGACGTTCCAATCAGTTAATTTTCTAGTATGCTAAGAAAAGTTTCCGTTATTCGAATGAAACTTTTCAACAATTCCTATTATATAGCAGATACCATGGAATCAATGAATCTAATTGTAAAGTTATTAAAGAAAATTTCTGACTTGACGAACGAAATTAAAACTCATTATTGATATCATTCGTATGATTAAGAAATATGACGATCAAATGATGAATTTTAGTAATGATTTTCTCTTGAATATATGGTCGGAATCCTGTTTCTTGATTAACTGGCTTCAAACCACTGCTGAGGTTATTTTGTTCAGTATTGGAGATGCTAGGTCAACAGAAATCCCTTGATAAACATTTTAATTTTGTAATTTATTCATAGAAATTTGAATTTATCTTCGCGCCAAAACTCCAGTTACTACCTTCTGTCTATGTGTCCCATATGGAAGGACCTTAAACATCACTGGTTCATTTTCTCTCTTAGTATGCCATATTTTGATTTTTCCGAAGACGATTTTTGAATGATATATATTATCTGTTCTTCCTGCTTGGCTTGTCGAGTTATTGTGTCCCTGGTTATATACAACGTTTGTTGATACCAAGTTGTATCTTAATGATCGCAAGCGTAGCTATCACGATAGTGAATCAATTGATGAAATAACGAAACCACCGGCAATGGTGTTTTGAACGTGCGTTACGTGTGCTCAACAACCTCATACCTTGAAGGCTGGTGTTTAGTGGTTAGGAAAAAAACTAAGACTTGGTTATATTCAATGAAGTAACTAACAACGATACTAATACTTCGTCCGAGACTCTAGTGATTGTCATAATATTTTCTTTGTTTTGTACCAATGGGTGGTGTGGTAAATTGAACCATTAAACACTTTTTACATTTCCTAGGATTGACAATAATATATAACCGTATAGAATATACAAATATATATTTCAATATTATTAGAAAATATCCCAAGACTTGTTGAGTTATCATTACCGCATCAAAATGTTAATACAATAAAAACAAGGAAAATATATTAACATGGTTTAGTTATTGCATAAAAACTATCGTACTCATGTGACTAGACCTAAAGGTCGTTCATTTCAACTACTTTTTGAGTTGCGAGTACATGTTGTTGAAGAGTGAAGAAACAAACGTAGCGTGAAAAACAATTGGATATTTGTGTTTCTGACCATCAGCTTATTTAAGTAAACAATGCTGAAAGTCGTTATTCCTCAGTCTAACATTATCAATGGTCATAACCAGTGGTTAGAGACATTGAACGACATGGCTCAAAATCGTTTGCAATGGCGCAAGTGAATCCACTCTTTGTGTTCTCTCAAATTGTAACCTTCTGAAATCCTCATCATCCCTGTCTTTCTCTTTCTAAATTTATCTCACTGAATTATACTTCCCGAATCATATATTCGAACCACAATTTTCTCCATTACTGCTAATACTTCTACTAACGCTACCGCTTTTTGTTTTGAACTAACAGTTGCGTCTCTGTGCTATTGCGGTATGGCAACCTGAACTGATGTACGTACGTACGAAGTTCTGCGTTGTATCTGCCTGTCTATCCCTTAGTAGTAGAGGTAGTGGAAGTATTAGCAGTAATCGGAGAGATTAGGGTTCAAAGATATTATTCAAGAAGTATAATCTAGTGAGATAGACTTACAAAGAGAGAGATAAAGGTGATGAAGAATCTAGAGGATTAGGATTGAAGAGAAGCCAAATTATGTATGCACCTGCGCCACTGAGCCATTCACACAATCTATGTACGTGGCTAGTATATCTTCTCATTGGCAAAAAAGAAGCAACTTTTAAAGAATCGTAGTTAACCATATTATGAAACAGAAAATATACCAGAATACTTATTCTGAAAACTTTTGTAAGTATGTTTTACATAAGTGTGAAGAATAATTAATACAATTAAATTTCCATCAATTTGAAAATCAAGAATATTGCTGACAGTAAAAATATAATGTTTTACAAAATAACCACTCTGGGAGTAAAAACCATCAATATAACTTTTATCCAGCCGAAAGAATAAGCGTAGACTTAGCTCCGAAAATAAAAGCAATGATTCAGGAATTTATAAATATTTAGTATCATTATTATATAGGTTCAAACCTCACAATAGCAATAAACAGTAAAATTGTACATTATTGAAAAGAAAACATCATATTCTTAACAAATAATCAATAAACTTGCTTTATCCATTTCCATATATCCATTATTTAATTCTTCTTGTGTACATGCATAACCGAAATCGCATAATTTTGCAATAAATCCTTCTGTAATTACAACATTTCTAGCTGCAACATCTCGATGAAACAACTGAAAATCATACAATACAATAAAAATTTTCCAGATATATTGAATATAATCAACATTTCCCAAAATTTTGTGATGATTAGTTATAACTCAAATAAAAATCAAATAAATCCTCCCAATCCATATTAGAGTTTAAATAGACAGAATGATTGACTTTATTCCAAAAGACAATGATTTTGATACATTAAACGAGTAACAATCAACGTAAAATCTATGATCGTTTAGAACTTGATTATAAAATTCATGAATTAGACAACTAAAACAATCTACTATCAAATTTAACTGATCACAATCAAAAGAGGAATAAACAATGCCTCAACATTTATCACCAGCCACTACTTAAGTTATAAAGACAATAAAACAGACCCATTGTAGATTAGGGTGAACTCCGTGCAAAGATGATATGATAAGTTATAAAGAGCTCCATGTCTTCACTGAGCTGTCTTCATCCAGCGTATATATAAAAAGGTAACAGGTGCCTTCATACACAAACACATCTTAACCAGTAAAAACGAGTGGTAACTTTCTGTCAAATTCTAGATGTCGTTGGTAACGTCCAATGCAAATATCAGTTGAATAAAAACTTGTTATCTGGTCTTTATAACAAGGAAACGGATGACTTAAGCACCGTCGAAAATTAATTATTATTTCGTTATGACTGTAAGCCATATTTATGAAAATCATTAATGGTCACATCAATTGGCATTATATAATTCGATTCAAAAATAAAATACTCGTTGTTGTTTAAAACGTAATATTGCGCGTATCATTGCTAAAGAATAGAATACAACTAAACAACAATAATGAAATCTTGATATTCTGCTTCTCATAAACTCCTACAAAACAGTAGACTTCACTTTAACGTCAATCAAATTTATGCATCTGGTGTATTCAATAAATGACAGAATTAATTTATTATTTCGAATTTGATTACGAGATATCGTAAATCTGAAGTTCCTTTGGTTACAGTCTATAACTATATAGTCGTTGTTTATACGTCTGTTCAGTTTGCTTACTCTCTTGACAAAAACTCCGACAACCAGTTCTTACTTAGTTTGCTTAGCGGTTTAAAGATTTGGTGATGGCATAAATCCATGAAATCACTGAGAACTGGATTGAGTCATGTTGGTAAGTGTAGACTATCTGGTTTTGGTCCACGAGATGATAGTAATCGATGGTTAGAGACTCTGAATGACATGTCTCAAAATCATTTGCAATGACGCAGGTGCATCCATTATTTGGCTTCTCTCAAATCCTAATCCTCTAGGTTTTTCGTTACTTTCATTCTTCCCTTTTTAAGCCTATCTCACTAGATTATACTTCTTGAATAATATCTTCGAACCCTAATCTCTCCGATTACTGCTAATACTTCCACTACCTCTACTACTAAGGGATTTGAAGTGACAATTGCGTCTCTGTGCTAATGTGGTATGGTAACTTGAACTAATGTATGTACGATCGAAGTTCTACGTTGGAACTGACTGACTGACTGACTTAACCTTGGTCAATGTCGAAGTATCTGTTGATTGGATTGTCAAGCTTTTGAAAAGTCTCTGGTTTTCTTTTTGCTTACTCTGTGTAATATTGCGACATTTCCCTAATCGAACTGATGTCCACACACAAATATTAACATCCTTTTTTTATGAGCAACGCTAAGTCGTATCACTTAGTAGCTAATTGGTGTTCACGTAAACGTAGACTAAGAGGATGGCCGTTTGTCCCAGAGAGTGTTTGGCTCTTCTTCAATTACTTTTTTGTTTTCAATTTACGTAATATTGTTTACAACGATCTTAGCAGAACTGTTCTTCCAACATTCAGTGATAAATTACAGTGGAATATTGTTACCATTAGATCTTCATTTCATTTCTTCATTAGAATCAAACTTACTGATAACGTTTCAAAATATAATAAGGCATCAGCAATATCCAAAGCAAATTTTAATAATTCCACTCTTTGTCGTTTGATCACACTATCAGATAACATTTCTTTCAAATCGTTTGAATTTGTTATAATCACATATGAGGAACTAACTATTCGTTCATCCGCCCAAAAATTAATTCCAGGTGGTCGACGATTTAGTAAGAAATCTCGTAGGTTACCATAGATAGCTAACTCCAGAAGAATGTATGGGAGATCTGGAAATAAATAAAGCAGAATTTTATTAAACAGTTTGCGTAATGTATGTCCTCTCCACCTTCTGCGCTTTTTCCTAATTTCTTACTCAGTTGGAATCTGGTATATTTTCTCCTACAGTAGGGAGTTGCAGATAGTGTCTGGCGAACGGATCCTTGTGTGGACAATCAACCAGACAACAGCAAAGTAGAACTTCGTAAGTACGTACATGTTGTAAACGCGTCTACGTAAAACTCTTCAGTCCTAACGGCGTCCAATTCAAATATCACAATACGACCCAAAAGGCTTTTCCAAATCTCCTAGAAATCAGAACGTAACACCGTGGAAGGAAGATGTTTATTGGGTCGAAAACAGAAGAAGTAGGCAGGGGAAACGGGATTATTAAGTCTTCCAGATAGCGCGTATTTATACACTAAGGTCGAATAAGAAAAAGCATCAACGTCTGTGACATTGACAATTTAGGACGACCAATAGAAAAGAACATTTGAATGACATTGACCGTCCAGATGACCACTAAGAGGTAACATTGAAGTATTTGACCCTGACGGTAAGAACGATCATAATTTCAGCCAATAGAAATCGACCAATAGGATTGCACTTCTAAAAATAGTATTCTTAGGATATTTGGTGAATATCCTAACAGTACATTATTTCAAGTTACATACCACATTAGCACAGAGACGTAATTGTCAAGTCGAATCCCATAGTACAAATCGGAGAGATTAGGATTCGAAGATATTATTGAAGAAGAAGAATATAATGAGAGAAACTTTAAAAGACCAAAATAAAGTGATGCGGAATCCTGAAGGTTAAGATTGGAGAGAACACAAATAATGAATGCACCTGTGCCATTGCAAACGCTTCTGAGCCATGTCATTCAGGATCTCTAACCATCGATTATTATCATCTCGCGGGCCCTAACCAAGTAATCGACAACTATCGACATGACTCAGTCCACTTGTCAATGACTTCATGGATTTCTGCCATTTTTTGGTCTGTCCGCTCATAGCGTTCTTCCAACCTATTAGTACGTTGCAAAACATAGCTCGATGAGGCATACACAGCACACGTCCCACCTACCTCAACTGATGAAGTATCAATACTTAATCTGTTGCCGCTTAAATGTCGAGAAATACTACTATTGTGGGACGTCCGAAAGTATCTTTGTTTTAAGACCTAACTTAGTGTGAATATTTGGTTTACATATCCACGTCTAGGTCTGATACCAGCCTGGTTTTCTCGAGTCTACTCTTCACGAGCTCTCGTTAGGCGTCGGAGTATTAATGAGGCCAATACTTTAGATACTGTATTAGTTAAACGGATTCCTCCATGATTATCACAAGAGGACTTTCTTCGTTCCTTCCTTCCTTAGGTTGACTGGAAATCGTGGAAATCGAGGGCCAGTTGAACTGATCCTTAAAGCATTCTGCATATCGATCTAATCTCCTGGGTTTAGAATGAATAATAAGACCATTTTTTCCCGAAATAGTCTCACTTACAGTCGGTTTCTTACTACCGACTTTCTTGATATCTATCTGCTGTTGCCTATCGCCGTTGCCTTTTCCATCGCTCTTCCTTCCACTACCCACCACTGTTCGCGATCATTGCGTAGGCTTATCATCAGCCTGAGCTTAAGCTGAATTCTCTCATGTTCAGAGCCAGGTGGAATGACTTTTGAAGCAACCAGCAGTTCGGTGGATGCTACTGAGATCTACGGTTTCTTCCTAGCCTTATGGCTTACTTTACTCGCAGATATCACTACTTTTTTCACAGTTTTTTGGAAATCATCCCCAGCTGCCTCCGGATGGGAATCACTTACATGGCCGTTATCTTACTGTCCCGTTTAGTCGGACAGCGCATAAGCGACTGTCTACCGGGATCCAGTCTAAGAGAGCTTGTTCTGCCTGGCGATTTAATGCTATACCTACACCAGCGGGGCCATGGGAATCAGCATCAGTGCTACCAGAAACAAGAAGCGTAAACCGTGTTGTTTCCATATCTGTACTAGATGAAATCGAATTGATGATGTTACTCGGATCTTGTTTGCGCGTTTCCGAGACACAACATACATCGATTACATGGGGTTCCAGAGTTCTAGCTAATGAAGCGTGTTGCCGTATTTGGCATAGGTTTTGGACATTAAAAGCTCTAATATGTAATTTAGTACGGGATTTTAAGAGACCAGGAATAATGTTTCGTGAGCTCAAACCGTTTGCTTCAGTGACGCGAGGTTATAAACGATTGAAAGAAAGGTTGGTCGAGGAGATTAGATAGTTATTAGGAGGTGTATAAAAGATTTGATTGTGACCAATTTTTTCTCGTGTGCTTTCATGGGTATGAGTTTGGATGCCACTTCGCGGTTGCCCACACCGCGGAAGGGTTCTGGTTGTCAGAAGGTACATCGGCCACATGACCTCAGAAGGAAATCGGCTTTCATCATGAGACGCCATAACTCTTCTAAATGAAGACCTACTAACTCCCAGAGCAGAGATTTCATGATTTAAATTACTTTGTCTTGTTATCGTTTCCTAGCGAGTTAGTCTTTTGCGGATGGGGTCGCCAACCCCAATCAAAACTCTCCTATTGTATCCGTCTTGGGACCGAAAGTAACGCCAAAGGGTCTACAGGTGGAGTTCCTTGCGCAGAAAACGTGTTAATAAACACCTGTATCCTGTGGATGATGGGTTTTGGTTCTCCAAGTTTCTGCTCCATACAACAGAACTGTGATGACCTTTGTATTGAAAATCCTGACTTTGTTAGTTAGTTCTTTTGAGTTCACTATGTTCTTCAAATATGGAAATGTTGCCCTTCACATTTGCATCAGATGTCCCTTCTTTATCGTTGACGCTGCTGAGGTAGGTAAAAGTTTCCACATCTTCCAAAGCTTCTCTGCCAAGTATGATATGGCTGATGCACGTTGTGTTGTATCTGATGGTCTTACTTTTCCTCTCATATACGTTGAAACTGATGCAGTGTGGCAAAAAAGAGCTGGGTGATTTGTGAAGTTCAAATTGTCTAGCTGCATCCGAGCTGCCCGCTGTATTCCGTGCTTCCCTGAGATGTTAATGTCTTCATAGTTCACACAACGAGAAAAAAGAGAAAGTTTGAGAATAAACAGCTAAGTCGGACATCAGTCTTCAGGTACACCATAGTGTGTCAAAGAAGGCTACATGATATTTTGCAAACGACGCTGCCTAACGCCTTCTCATCGTTAGGGAAGTCGATATATAGTGATGATTCCTGACCAATTGTACGTTCAAAAATGGCCCGTCGTGCTGCGATTAAGTCGGTACCTGATCGATTCTCATTCCATTCTGTTGATCACTAAATTTTTCATTCTGTTCGACAACACTCTGTCGTAGACTTTTCCTGGTACAGACAGTAGAGAAACGTCTCAGTAGTTCTCACACGTGCTAAGACCTGAATGAGGTATCTATCTTTCCATTGTTTTGGTACTGATTTTTTCTTCCACATCTTTACTGAAGAGAGCGTGGAGCATCTTTGAGGTTACTTCTATGTCTGTTTTTAATGTCTTACCCGGTGTTCAGGAGTTCTACCCATCTGTTTTGCCGTGCTTGGAACTTGGTAATTGGTTTTTGTTCTTTGTTTTTGACCGATCATTCTGGTTTATTATATTTTTCAACAAGTTTCTTCGTGGTATTATGTAGTTTTCTCATGTGTCGTTTGCTTATAACCTTTTCTGCCATCATTTCTAGATCTCCCATAAATAGATTTGAGAATCTCTGACCGTCTTTGTTCCTTTCACCCAGTCTACATCGTCCCATAATGTCTTAATATCTGGTGTCGTTCATCCCAACCTTGGCGTCCATCAGAACAGCTCAATCATTTTCTGGGTATTTCTCAACGATTGACTGAAATCTCCCATAAAATTGATCTTTGTCATCTACATTGTTATCGTTGGTGGGCGCGTAGCCCTGATTGATATTCATTATGATCGCCTCTTTCTTTGCCTTGAAGGATGCCTTAAGAATCCTGTGTCCATGAGATTCCAATCTTATAAGTGGACTTGCTTCGATAGCATCAGTGCAATTCGGTGTGTGTGTGAGGCATTTTCCTCTTCATAGTCAAAGTACAGTCTTCCAGTTTAGAAATCAATATGCGTAAAATATTTTGCCAGGGGATATATACGTATTATGTATATATATATATATCTTAGAATAATGGTGAGAAACATTAGACGCAAAAAATTAATTTTACCCGTCTACAAAGATTTCTTCCTCACACGACCTTGAAAGGTAGAAAGCGATATGATGCGACTTAAAAATATCTTACTATATAAAAAAGGAAGATAATATTGTGAAATCAAACCCAGATCTCAAAGGAAATAACTTTTGAATGGATTTGCTGATCCTTCGTGACTTCCATTATTCACAAATAAGTACAACGGGGTAAACGATGCTGGTATTTTTATCAATGTATGAAATCTATGGAGCACTGTACTATTGTTAAGCGCACTAAATAAACAACTGTCACAAAAAACTGTCTCATATCAATTCAGCATGTTCAGTCACAGTTCATAAACCGAATTACATGCAATGCGTACAAAAATATGTTCATCACAGTTTAAAATTTCGCTAATGAGTATCACGTTCATCACGCCATAATAACTGAACTCCGCTCAAACTCACTATGAAACAGATAATAAGTTGATGACTGGCTCGTAAAGTTCTAATCCTAACTGCAAATCCTGATCAGATCAATGACTCACAATAATAATCACATGAAAATAACACACCTTACTATGTGACTTCATTACTCACATTTCAGTATCACAATTTACATTTAACAGTTTGAAACAGTTACTCAATGTAAATAAACACGAAATGATTCAATAAGTAGACTGACTGATGCTTCTCTTTTAATGAAATCGTATGGCTAGAATGTCAATCATCAAACGACTCTAGTAGAAAAACAAAACATGTAAATATTATGATAATTAATTTCAGCTGGCATAAATAGTTCATGAATCGGTAGACAGTATTTCTGAAACCTTACTTACCACGATCTACGCACAGTCCATAAAATGTAACAATATGTGGATGTGGTTCTAGCTCACTTAAAACTTTAGCCTCTTGAATTAAATTAATTAGTTGTCGATTTCGAAATCCATCTGGAAAAATGAGAGAAGTAATTGTTGAAAAGAGGAAAATACAATGTGCATGCAAAAGAATCAATGAGATAAATAAAACATTTGTAAATGACAATCAAATGAATTGTATCGAAGAAACTTAAATATAAAGAAAACAAGCCAGTTTACTATGAGTTCTGAAAAAGAGACGAATGTCAACATCATGAATATTGTGATCTAGTTCTTTCTTGAGATCATTCCATTTCGTATTGTGTTTGTTTACTGCAACAGAAATAATCGTTATAGACATTAGTGAGAAATGATAAGTTATCACAGCGCATATATTACTAGTATATTTCTAGGCTTCAACAGTCTACTTCACTACGCTTTTTTAACAGGAAACTAAACATATTTTTACAACGAAATCAATCCAACACATTTTACAATAGAGATTCGTGTTTGAATATTTTCTAACCTCGAGTCCAGATAGATACTTAAGAAATACTAGCTTGAAGATGAAATCGTTTTTGCAAAAACTAAATAAATACTTAAAGCTGTCTTGTGGCGAAGCTGGACAATGGGGGCTACTGTGTATGCTAACTTACGCGGTCAGTGGAGATCGTAACTGATCAAGTCTTTCGAGGCTCAAACCTAAAATTCAAAGGGACTGCTCGATTTGCATGCTTTTTTAGACAAACTGCATGAGCCCCGGTCTATGTAATCACTGTGAGTAGTTATATGCAAAGGGTACTCCCGTGAGCTCACATAAAATGAACGTTAGTTGGATGAAGTTCTGCCTATAATAAAAAAGCGAGGACTAAATTAATCAAGAAAATAAAACAGGCATTTGAACAAGAAACGGCTGGCGAATATAATATTTGTGACCATATGTATATCATAAAGCGCTAACGTGACAGCTCAAGTACTCGTGTTTTGAATATAACGTCTGAAAGACAGAGTGTGAAAAACAAAACGTCCATAGGAGTGGCGAAATCTGCCCTTCTGGAGGATGGTTATACCTGTGTGTATACCAAGTGAAAACTCGTTTCTAGTGTGCATGTAAAGTATAACTGACCTCCAAGTAAGTGTGCCTATTTGTATTTCATTGGATATATGGGTTGAAAACTCATGTGTTTCTGATATGCATGTAGCATGTTCCTCACAAAAACACATCACGTGGTCGGAGAAATACTCTTTCCTAAAACGCCATTTGATGTCTCCGAATGAGGCTTTACCAACCACTATTTCTGGAAATCAGAACTTTATCGACCTAAAATAATGAGGCGTGATAAAAAGATGGATAATCCGCCACCGGTTAATCCACGTAAGGTTATACACTTTCATCCCATCATCAATGTCGGTGCTTGCCACATCTTATAAACATAAAATTTACGCACTATATTGTTTTCATTTCGTTATAAATTAAGTGACCATAATGTTTGAGATGATGTAATCAATTAAGAAAGACTTGAGATGTTTTAATGATAAAAAACTAATACGATACGTTTATAAAATTCTTAATGAGTTACAGAAATTATTACTTCAGAAAAAGAAGACAGATTAAAGGAACAAAGGAATGTAACGTCTTGAAATTTAATAACCTTTTTGTAAACATTATTATGGTATTAAAAATAAAACGATTTATTGTAGAGAAAGAGACCGAAATATTATGGATCTGGTACTGCAGTTTTATTTTATCCCTATGATAGGATAGATGTGTTGAAAAGTCAAAAAAATTATAAAAAATTCAAACATTCCATAAAAATTTAAACATTTTTTAAAATGCCTCAGTCTGAATAAAAAAGATATCTTTCAATTCTCCACAGACTTTTCTAAAGATTAGATTGTGTCGATTGGGCTGCCTTCTATGTTGGAGAGAAGTCTATTGAATTTAGTGGTTCGTACAAAGGAACAATTAAGGTAAACAAAAATAAAATACCTTGTAGAACCTGAAAACTGACAAATTAAGTCTATGAGAGTAATACATACAATTTTTAACAACCATTAAATCAATGTTTGAAAACACGGAAATCCAAACAACTTTTCCAACTACAAAGAATGGATAATGATTAAAGATTTTCGTATACTGCTAAACTATCTATTCAACTTGGAGCACTATTCCAAACAACCCCTTTCAATATGTTCAAATCTCATCGAGTTAATATATACAGTAATTAGCTCTAGCCCTTCACACTTACTGAGACATAGGCAAATAGCACACATGTACTGTCTCACCGTTGTTTTGAATGATGTGATATAAGCACGACAAGATCTATTTAGATTAATATTTCAATTTTTCCATTGTATACATATAAACCTAATTCAGTCATTTTTTCCCTTCGGGATGGAAGTGCTAGAAGCTCGATTTTGCACACATTGGAGCATTACTCATTAGTATGAACAATCCATCCAATGTAGAATTAACCCGCAAATATTAGGTTGGACCACTGTAATGATAGCTATAAAATTGTTTTATGCTCTGGAAATTCTCTCGTATCATACGTTTTGTCTTTGAGCTCATTATTTGTCGCTTTTAGTATTTCAACCAGCAAATAACCAAATATAATTTCTTTCTTACAAGTGCACGTAAGTTACGTTGAATATTCTGTGTTGTAGTAGATAATTATCAAACTGTAACTCCACAAAAACTCTTCACCTAGATAATACAACACAAACATCTTTGTAACTAGAACAACCCGTAATAAATGGTTAATATTACAATGTTCAGTAAAAAATTACTTGTATTCTCCTCATAAAGGTTTATTTGACACTGAATGAAATTAAGTATAAGTATAAGTATAAACACAACTTCTGACCTGACGACCCACAACTTCGTCCCGAAGCTGGACCAAACTAGATCACATCACCATCAACCACCGATGGAGGGATTCGACCGAGGACACATAATGAGCTTACATAATGATCGCTAACAGTGGTGGGTAGCGAAAGCAAGATCGATGGAAAAGGCAGCGATGACAGGTAACGGTAGACAACTGTTCCGACTTATCAAGGAAACTGGTATTAGGAAACCATCTGTTGGCGAAACTAACTAGGAAAAGGATAGGCGTATGTGTCGTTCTCAACCCAGGAAATTGGATCGATGGGAAGAACATTTTAGGGATCAAAATAATTGGTCAGATAAATTGACCCGTGAGATTTTTAAGGATGGTGGTCCAGTTTTTGCAGTTAGATTGACTGAGATGAAATTTAGAATTACGGAACTGGACATAATCCCATCTGACTGGTCTCAATCACTGATTGTCCCAATTTATAAGAGAGGGAGAAAGTCCTCTTGTGACAATCACGGAGGAATCCGTTTAACTAATACAGTATCTAAAATATTGGCCTCATTAATACTCCGACGCCTAACGAGAGCTCGTGAAGAGCAGACTCGAGGAAACCAGGCTGGTTTCAGACCTGGACGTGGATGTATAAACCACATATCCATTCACACTACGACACATCCTAGAACTCAGACACGCATTTGAGCGTCCGACGTTAGTTGTCTTCCTGAACCTTAAAGCGACATTTGACTCTGTCGATCGTGAGTTTCTGTGGCAGTGTCCGTCACTAAAACGTGTACCAAAGAAGAACATTCACCCTGTACAATCTCTCTACTCGAATACAACTGCCTGAGTTAGAGTTTATGGAGAACTGTCATCGGAATCGATTTCTTCAAGTGGTGTCCGTCGGGGCTGTCCACTTTCTCCATTATTGCTTAACTTTGTCATAGACTTGCTTCTAGACATAAAAATTGTCTTCGTCTGACTATTCAAGAATAGACCTTCTACCGGGAAACTCGCTTGTTGACTGGGAATATGCCGATGACATAGTTCTACTTGGTGAATATGCCGACGAAACCAGTCTTCTGACTACCCTATGCAACAATGTAAGCATGTTCGGGATGCGCTTCTCCACCTCAAAATGCAAAATGTTGCTTCAAGATTGGGTTGCATCGGTACCTGAACTAGTGATAGGGAGTGAAGTGTTTGAGCGTGTAGACCGCTTCACTTATATTGGCAGTCTCATTAGTGCTGATGGCCTGGCACGTGACGAAAACTCAGCACGGGTACAGGAGGCTCGATCGGTGCATTCATTAATTGTGTCCTCCCAAATTCTTATCTTCAGGATTCCCCACCATTTCTATCGTTGATTTCACTAGATTGTAGTTCTTGAATAATATCTTCGAACCCCAATCTTCTCCGATTACCGCTAATACTTCTACTATCTCTACCACTATGAGATTTGAATCGACACTCTCGTCTCTGTGCTATGTTGCATAGTAACCTGAACTGATGTACGTACGTACGAAGTTCTACGTAGTAACTTACTGACCTAAACAACTGGATTAACATCGTCTACTGTTTAAAAAAGTTTCATGTGTTTCTGCAGAGTTCATGAACATTCCTATCTTCATTTCAATTTATAGCGATGTTTAAATCTTACGACTAAACCCATTAATCCGTATCGTCCAAAATGAGAGAGGGAAAGAGAGTAACGCCTGTTACTCCCAATGGACCATAGACTGCAGACCAGTATTCTCTAACCTACTCCGTCCTGGACTTCCGTTTCCAGCTGTGTCCAATTTTCGCTCATTGTTGTCATGTCTAACTCCATTTCTCGGCGTAATGTGTTCCTTGACATAGCCCAAAATGAGTAATTTAATCATTTCAATCGATGTGAACTTCAACGTACTTTAATAAGTCACAATTAACACATCAATTTTAAAATTTGCAGCGATTGATACAGGTTACTGAAGAGCTTTCGAGCCATCATAACTAATGTCAGTTACTTGAGTGAGTAACGGAACGGGAACCAGACATCTCAGACAATCTCATGTGGTCATGGCCTCAATAAATGTCAGCAAGCTTTAAAATGATGTGATTATTAATATAAGGAGTTTATTTAGCGATAAGTTTTAATGTTCGAATTACAAGGATACTAGACTAGATGATTTGTTTACAAATGCCTTGATTGGTTTAACATTTTCATATAAATATTCATGTATATTGGAGTAAAGCCTGATGACGATCTAATCGAAAACAATATTGTTCGCTTATATGTGTTGTTCTAAATGACAAGTTCCAACAAGAATATCACCATATTAAAGATTATATTATGGTATCGATGATTTTTAAAAATATGTCTAACCTAAACTATGGATAATATGAAATAAATTCTTAACAATAAGGCTTTCAAGACTGGTTACCTATTTTTTACGAATGACTCAGATAGTTATATGGGCCGGTCATAGCCATTTTGTATTCGGTCTTGTGGTTGTACGGAAATCTGACTTCAGTTATATACTTAACCACGTGCTGTTGCTTTGGTTTCCCATTAGCGCTCGTTGACAACTCTGAACCAGTTCGGATTCCTCACTTATACAACATTTCCTATTAGGAAGTGCAGCCGTTGATAATTACAGTCAAACAGCTAGCGATATGTAACGTAGAACCTGATATATACGTTCATCGGTTTCCATTACTACAACATTGTTTCAGAGAGAGGAAACCATCTAGTCAAACCCTAGGATAGTAAGAAGAGTTAAAGCAATGATAATACTCAAAAAAGATGAGGTACAGAAAAGGTGTAACCATATTTTGGTACTCTGGATATAATGGTAGACAAGAGTGGACACATCGCACGAATCCGACATGTCATCAGACGGCTTCAACCACCGATTATGGTAATCATGACAACTCCAACTTTATGGTCTTTACCCATCCATACTAAATGAATCAGTTCACTTATCAGTGACCATGTGAACTGATTCCAAGTTTTTGTTTAGCCACCCCTATATTTCTCTCAAGCTACTCCTACACCACTAACTATCATGTGTTAAGATGGCGGTTTGGCATGCGTTATACACGATCCAATCACCTTAACCAATTAAGTATCCTGAATTTATAATTTTAATTTTAAAGGAAAGGAATACCAACACATAAATAGTGACATTGCTCCTCAAGACAGTCAGAAGAATCGGCATTTTATCAGACTGTTCTCCGAACAGAACTTTTATCAGCATATTCTAAGTCAGTTAGAGATCAAGTGATCAAGAGATCAGTCCCTGAAAAGTTAGAAGGTGAAAGCTTATCGCCAAAAATGTCTATTACAAAGTAAAATAAAAAATGATAACGTGGACAACCCTGTCAAGTAACACTTGACGCATATGGTTCTAGTGACATTCTGCTGTACTCTCTTGTTTACCAGACCAGTAGAAGACCTGTACATGGTTGATGTACTTCTTTCGTATTCCTTTTAATGAAACCTCACCGCAGAACCTCTCGTTCAACAACGTCCAATGACGCCTTCAATTCGAGAGAAAGTCTACGTTCGAGATCATGGCAGAGGATGAATATCTGGGTAGTACATTAGGTGTATCTGAAACCATCCTAGTTTTCTCAGGTTCAAACTTCAAAAACGCCAGACAAACAACAGATGATTATTGAATCCAATATCTTTGAAAATATAATAATCAGACTGATTCTGGTTACTAAATGCTATAAAGAACCAGTGATGTGAAGTTCTGTAGTATAGTTGTACTAATTACGACTGAGTTCAAATTCTCGATGTACTTTGTAATGTGTACCATTATGTCAAACAAACCGATTAATTTGTTATTCTAGAGTAATTACTCACACGTATTTTGACTCTACTGATTATTCGTTTATAACTTCATTTGTTTTCACTTGCGTTTCTGAGAGCATTACTTACTTCGCTAACTGATGACTAAATCGCCTCTCATTGATTCATTTGATCAACATTCTTGGACTTAACTATCCACTTGCAAACAGAAGTAAAGCATAGGATCCTTGATACTTCGTGCGATCATAATCAAATCCCTATTGTCCATAATAATACTTCGCCTCCTTAACATCACTATGGTTTTGTCAGAAACCAGCTCGAGAATTTATTACCCATAGTGGTGTCAGACAGTCACGAACAACGTACAGCCTAACATCATGATATAACCGGAAAAACCACACAACATATCAATATAGGGATTCCAAACACGATTTATTGAGGCTAAAACAGTCGAAAAGCAAGAGATTGTCTCTACGGCTAATGTACAATATTTCGCTCATATAAATGCTTCGTCTATGGATGACCTGATAACGCAACTACCTGTGTCAACATATTTCAACTGGAGAATTTATGAGGGTGAATATTGAAATCCTACTAAACTAATATTTAAACTTTCACGAATGACACTATGAAGGCAATATAAAATAATTCCATAGATAATTCGCATCCATCTATGCGGTAAAATTGCCATTACACCTCCCGTGATCTCAATCATCTTACATCGAAGTTCTCTTATCTGTACAAATAAGGGAGTGTTTAAAGGATTTAGTTGAACAGTAGCAAGGATATTTTACACGCATATAGACGAACTTACCTTGTAATGTTTTGACAGCAATCTCTGTGTTATTAGCAGTGTTTTCTGTGTCAGCAAGAACACATAGTTTCCCTTTGTAGACAATCCCAAAATCACCTTCATCAAGGAGACTTTCTATAGTAAAAGATGATCTCAGCACACAAGTTTTTGGATTCGCATTCAAATACCGATTTAGCCAATCTAACAGCTTCGTTTTGCAAAGAACAGATTGATGTCCTCGTGAAAAATATTTTAGTTGTTGATGTAATAGTCTTTGTGATAATGATGTAAGTATTTTTGAATTGTGAAGTTTTATTTCTGTATGTTTTATACTGATTTTAGAAGTATCGGACCGAGAATAAGCACTACATTGTGATGATGATGTTGTGACTCCATACATCAAATTCATCTTGCGGAAAAAAATGACACATCTTGACTTAGCATGTTTTTGCAGAAAATCAATAGGTATACAGAATACAGGTCGCGATGACTTTCGCCTATCCCATATACAATATATTAATATTAGTTGAATAGTTGCTATTGTTATAAATATAATCATCCAAACCAGAATAGATAGGACAAATCTACAAATAAAATCTGTAGTACAATATTAAAAATAAATTGCAAATAGGGAAATACCATTTGGCAATAGAATATTTTCAATAACCTAGTTCACACTGATGATCGTTCACACAAAAGTGTTTTCGTGTTCAAAATGAAGACAGCCAATGTTAATTATGAATTTCATGATTCATCATATAACATTAGGAAAGTATGGTTTTGAAATTGTACAATTACAAATTAAAAGTATAACATTTGCATGTATTTAGTGCGTCGTCTGTCTGCTAATCTTCTCATGATAAATATATATCTATTAGGCTGACCACCGACTGCCTCGAAGAGTTATGTTTTATGGTGTAGGAGTAGTTTGAAAAAAAGTCAGGGACGGTCAAACCAAAACATGGCACAAGTCCATGAAGTCACTGACAAGTGGACTGAGTCATGTTGGTAGATGTAGACTACCTGGTTGGGGTCCGCAAAATGTTACTTATCGATGGTTGGAGACCCTGAGTAACATGGCTCAGAACCGTTTGCAATGGCGCAGGTGCATCGATTGATTGTGTTCTCCCAATTTCTAATCTTCAGAATTCCTCACCACCTCTCTCTTTAATTTCACTAGATTGTAGTTCTTGAATAATATCTTCGAACCCCAATCTTCTCCGATTACCGCTAATACTTCTACTATCTCTACCACTATGAGATTTGAATCGACACTCTCGTCTCTGGGCTATGTTGCATAGTAACCTGAACTGATGTACGTACGTACGAAGTTCTACGTTGTTATCAACTGATTGACTGACTAATGATCGAAACTCGTCGATCAAATGACATGAACCACTAGTCTAAATGAATGGATATATCAGTAATCAGTTTTGTTACATTAGTTGGAGGAAATCAACTGCGCTGTCCTCTTCGATATCGTCTACAACTTTTCGATACTCAAAACACGCAAACATAACAAGCAGTTGTACATTCTCAGACCGAATCCAGAAATTATAGGAAATGACGAACAACGAACAGTCCCACGACCTAATTTCGTCAATCCTCCAGAACTATACAAAAATTTGGTGATTTGTAATTCTTGAATACCAACTACTTGAAAGTAGTCAATGTGGCTTTCATTAAAACGATGTCTTTTTGACATGGAATCGTTAAAGAAACGCAAAACAACAAACCAACTACTGGATGTGATTACATCACAACATCATTGAATGTCTATCAACAATCCCTTTTAAAAATACCATTGGGAGGCATTATCAATGATCAAGCTGATGGCATTTTCTTTCATCACAACACTAATTTGTTTGTATCATACATGGTATCAAACTGTTTACAAAGTTTCACCATAAATCGAAATCTAGTCGGTACACTTTACGGTTACAAAAATATCTGTTGAAGACAGTATTACATAACTAGACCCAAACACTGGGGTGTTCGATAATAATGAGACTAAAACTGGTAAAATGGGCACGAGTACTCGGAATCTTTGGAGTCACGTAGCGAATGTGGAAATTCATTTGAAAACTAGCAGTCAATCGAACCGAAACGCATGAGACAGACAGTTAATATTGAGTTTCCTGGTTTATACTTCACTGAAATATCGGTAAGCATAAAGAAATACAAATAATAAATCTTTCTAATAGGACTAAATCACCTAGCACTTGTTCGTGCTTACACATATACATATGGTTGTCTATACCGTCTAACAAACGACGCTACAGCTTAGTCACCTAGGCCAGCTAAAAAAATCACAACAGATCATTGTCACTACTTTTTAGTATTATAGGGGCTATTCACACAAAGCACATCACAAAATTATCTAGCGCATTTTTAACGACAAGCCAATAGGTAATCACACTGACAAAAATTAATGACGGATAAGTATCTGTTAAGCTACAGCAAGATTTTAGACTGGCTAGGAAATTAAAATCCTTTTCATATCAAATGACCACTACTTAAGATTAATAAGACTATATTCAAGTCCTTCCTTTTAACGGTTTGTGGTTATATCTTGTTTGAAAAAACTACCCCAATACTCACCTTGTGATGGGCGAACATATGCAGAGTGCCTAGGCAACAACGCCCCCGCATTCAGACAACAGATCTCAAGCATAAATTCGATTATCCAATAAGCAAACTATATTTAAATCTACACAGTACTGCACTAAAATGAGTGATAAACGCACATATTCACACATAACAGGTGAGCCTTAATGTAATTTGAAGAACAAAATAAAGGCTGATGGGCTTGAACCCTTCCGCCTAACCAGCCTACACCCACAATATGCATGTTTGATCATGTTAATGATCTCAAACAATACATTGCCAAAAAATTAAAGCTTTGGGATTTGATTAACACATCCAAAACACAAGCCAGTGTTGGTAACCAGAATAAGCTATTTCTGAGACACACTATGTTTTCTTCCAGTTTCTACCGTATGAAATATATTAGGTTTGGTTAGCAGTCCGATTCTCTACGTTTTCTTATTAAAGAGTAGTGAATTAAAATCATGATTTTCACAAAAAAATCAATTAAATAGCTACTTCCGCGACACAAATGTGGCCGAACAAAGTTGGCGAAAGGGTTGTGAAGTATTGTTTTACAGATGTACATGAACTACTCCAATTTACTATTTCCTGTTTTCCTCTAGGACGGTGATATTCCAACGATATAGCTGATTAGATCATTTAGAGTATGATGAATTCAGTCACATTAATTTTGAACACCAAATATAAAGACGTTTTCATCGAATATTCGGGACTTATTGGGCTACAATTCTGCCACCAATTGATTCCAAAGTCTAGGACATTGTCGTACATTGTAAAATATAGTTTAGTTGTAAGGTGCTTGACTAGTGGGAACGAAGCTGTATTTCATTGTGCATTCAATAATCAAATTACTGAAGACCGAAATACAGGTAGCTAAAACTCAAGATATGCTTGAATAAAGGAGTACATCTCGCTTTATTTCATTTACAGCGTGTTTTGACGGAACTGCTGTGAACTGACCATAAATTTTGAATTTCTTAGTTGGCAGCATTACGTAGGCAGCCTTGAAAAGAAGGTGCTGTTCGCAGAGACCACATGAACTGATGGCTTTTAACGTTATTGAACGAACGAGGTCACTCTACATAAACCGAAGGATTTACTTTAAAACATTAACAAACGGCAATTTAATTGTGTTCTTGTTTAAACTGTTTCTCTTAAAAACCTGATTTATTACGATTGTTACTATCATAATTCTCTCCCTCCTTGTGACGAATGGCGTTCCGCTCTCTGAGCTGGAGGTTTTGGTTGTTGAGCTCACACTGTTCTTCTGAACAACATCAGCACAAACTCCTTCACAACAAATAGTCTGTGATTCACAATGAATCGATCTTCTAATCTTATGGTAAATACATCAAACAATCTCTTCCTTTGTCTCGTGATTCCTTGAACCCATTATATATTTATACAAAAGTAGAAGCATGTACAAAAACAGATCGTTTCCGGTTGTCATACTTTATAACTCCAAAGTGTACAGAATTACCAAATATTAGAATATTATAGCAACTATATCTTGTGGTTACTTTCCTTTCCACAACACTCCGGCCAAGTTGTAAGCTAAATAAAGAAACTATTGGTCAAAGGGATGTCAAATAAACAGAGCTTGTACTGCATAAACAACTTGAATCATTTAGTGACTTACCGATAATTTTTGATCAGCAAATATTAAACCAGGTAATCTATACACTACGTCAACGGAGTCAAATAAAAAGTATTCAATGGCGTTGGTACTCAAGCAATAACAATAAGATAATGAGTAGCGCTATCCATCACTATTTACTACATAAAATAAAAGGCACGGTTCAGACTGTTAAGAAATCAACAGAGCCAAAATCTAGTTTCCGTATCACGAGCTTCGAATACAGTATAATAACAATATCTAATTTCACGAACCTAATGAAGATACTCATTTACATTATGCAATACCCTGATGGTTGTTAGCAAATTGTTACACATGGATCACATGGTCGACATAGAATAGCAACAAAACCAATAAAAGTAATAGATAATACTACAAAATGGTCAATAAGAAACAGAAAAACGTTTGGAAGGGAAAGTTTTACAAAATGTAAAATATTAAGTCTTATCTGTGCTACTCATTCCGATACTGATGAAAGGCTTTGACTATGTCTTACTTTCGAAATAATCTCCAGTAATCATATATGGACACTCATACGTTTCAAATTAAGTGACAAAGGCTCCTACGTATGAAGTGATCCTTTTCGGTTTGTTCCAGGTGTTTTTAAACCTCATCAGGATCGGTGTAATAGACTGAAGAGAAACGCTACATAAATCCAATATACCTCAGCGGTCTTTTCAAATGTTAGTAAGTATAGACGACTACATTTAGAAATATATGCTAACGTTACTCATTTACTATAATTCCGATATACACAAAACTAATAATACAAAAGGGACAAAAGAACTCACTTGATTTTGAACAATCCGTGACTGTAATTGTGATATTTTTATAAAAGTAATCATTTTTGCATATATACAATCCATCATCTCTAAAGGACAAATTTTCTAGTTTCAATGTAATACTGTTGTCAAGTCTTGGATAACGTTTCTCAATAATTTTTAAAGAATCTAACGCTTTTGATGCCTAAATTTACAGGAATGTAGAACAAGAGGAAACTGTTTGTAATAAAGCAATGAAGATTAAGGTTTGTTTTAAAAGTCTTAGTAATTCAGAAATCAGTCAGTCAGTAAGTTACAGAGGGGAACCTCGTACATGAGTACATAAGTTCAGGTTGCCAAACCGTATCAGCATAGAAAAAAAAAGTCAGTTTAAACCAAAGGCAGTAGCGACAGTAGCAGTATAAGCAGTAGTGGAGAAGATTGGGTTCGAAGATATGATTCGAGAAAAATAATTTCACTGTGATAAATTTAG